ACTGAATATCCTACGCGAGTAAAGAATTCGCACGTTCGGGGAGCGACTTGCGGTAATATTAAATGGCATAAACTGAATGGATGGGTCACAATTTCACAGATTATAAACTCACTCAAATTACAAATTCAATCTGACCTTGTGATGCCAAAAATGCGAATCGGGATCAAAATTTGACGCAACAGTTCATGAAATGAACAGACACATAGCAAGAATCGGGAGACCTCATAATGATACTAACAGAGCGGACACACCAAACCTAGGCTATTGGAGTGTTATCAGTTATCGGGATATTATTTAGAGACTGAGGGCCTGCAGACTCCCCCAACACAGGGCCCCTCCACCCTACATCTTAACCTTTAATTATACGATTAGTAAGTGACATGTTTACCTCATGTTTACCGCCCCTTACCTCACTTGCCCCAAATAGCCGCCACCCTGTGTTCGTTTAAGTAAGATAAAAGATCAGCTCCAAAGCGCGGGTCACTGGCTATCCCCCCATTGTAGGGGTACGAGTTTCAGGTTTCTTCACCGCACGGGATTATGACGTTACAATGAAATATGAGCTGGTGTTTGCAGTCTGAGGAAGTGATGTAGACTGTAACTCCGGTTGAAGTGTTTGGTCTGAGGAAGTGATGTAGACTGTAACTCCGGTTGAATTAATGTTATTAAATTGCTTACAATGCCGCTATTATTAGTATTAGTTTGGTTTGGTATCAAAAATAAAGCGGTATAATGATAATCGTACATAAACGTGGTTTTAAGAAGTTTTTCGGTTTGACACGATATCAAAACTAGAAAAAAAAGGAAAATTGTTGAACTCAGCACCTAATACAATCTTTTCGTATAATAAGTGAATGTTTCAGTTTATATCGAATATTTTAAAATACTCCGCATGATCATTGTCTATTGATTGAACTTCATAAATTAGATAGAAATATCAAATATTTACACAAGGCCAGTTCAAAGCTGATAAGATGTATTTGGCACAATGAAAGGAAGCAGTGTCAGGTCATAAATCATAATTCGTATAGTGATAAGCAAAAAGGTTCGGATAATCTTTTAAAACCTAGATTTTTAAAACAATAATTATAGGCAAAGAATTATACCCGAAAGAATTGAAATCGATAATAAATCATTTCTTGTTTGCTGTGCCAACAGGTTAACAATGAAATTGTGGTTTGGATTGTTTAACTTTTTCTTTTCCTAGAAGAAAATAATACATTTTTCACGATAATCTTTTAACACTTTAGAGTAAAAAATGCGTCATAAATTTCTCTTAAAGTCACTTTTAAGTGATTAAATATATTTCTCATAGATTAGGAATATTACCTACATAAAAACGTATAATAAATTAAAAAGGTAATTTCCCATGTAGAAGAATAAAGTTCAATTGGAATTAATGTCATAGAGATATTATGTCAATTAGTCATAAAATATGTAATGAAAAGTATTATCAAACTTAGAGGGCGAGTTGTACCACACCCTAGGATAATAATATTAATGGTCGTTCTAATACACAAAGCAAATTACGTAAATACTGCAATTAATGGCAATATTCATGTTGAATAAGTTAATCATCCTTATCATGATAAGGTAATCAGAATTGCGTGAGATTATTGGTTTAGTTAAATAATGCCAATTTCATTTCCCCTAGTTCAATTAATAAAGTCGACATGATATCATCTATTAATGTTCAGTTGAAGCGGGATCGGAGAGGAAAAGTCTCGATTATGCGGTCACTACAATCAAATGAAACTGCCAGTTTGACAAACTGGATAGATTCCGTTTGACATTCAAAATAATAGCTATTATAAAAATAGGCCATTATTAAAATACTTACGGGATAAAATGTCAAACTCATAAGGTGTCTGGAGAGAAGTATTAGCTTATTAGAGTGCTGAAGCTCTTGATCCCCCGACCTGATCGTAGCCTCACAAATCCATTTTGTAATTCGCTTACCGTTCACAGCATAGATTATGAAGAGAGATCGCGTGCTCCTGCCAGCAGAGAGCGTTCCAATTTGTACCTTGTCGCCACTCGGGTAGATAGTGTATGTGCGCTCCTCCGTTACTTTTAATTTGTGTACTTTCCTTGTTTCAGCGAAATTTGCAGGACGTTTATAATGTAAGGTTATGAGGTTTAGTAAGGTTTAGCTTACATTTTTATTCTTTATAAAACGAGTAAGATAAGTTTTAATGCTCGCGACTTTAACCCTCGAAAAGTAATGAAATCAGAGAGATGGCGTCTCTATAATTGTACACAATGTGTTAGTGCCAGGAGCTTGATCGATTCCTTGGCATGCTGGTAAAATCTCGATTAGTAGTGTGTGACCATTCTCTCAAATCTCCATCTATGGAAATTAACAAAATACTTTGTAGCTCACCGGTATCAAAGATATTCATTTTAGTTTTCCTGGTTTCTCTGATCCCCTGACTCCAGGTTTCTTAACCGCTTTATATTATATTAATTTTTAATATAGATATTATATCCTTCTTCGAGAGTAAAAAAGAAGAGCCATTTTAAATTTGAAATATAATTTACTGTATTTTGTTCGCAGCTTGTCCGAAAGTATTTATTATATAATACATACAAAATGAAACGACGGGTTACGTCAAACAAATGTTTCGATCAAAAGCAAAGCATGATCTCTTGTCATTTCGTATTCCACTCTCGGCTAGACAACAAAGCACTGCCAGCAGACGACTGCACCTCCCAAAGTATACAATAATATATAAATATTATTGTAAATATATAATATCAAATATGAATTAAATAATCTGATGTAAAGATACTAAAGAAAGTTAATAGAATATAACTTACTTCGCACCCTCCACAATAACCACATTAATATATTCTCAACAGTAGGAAGTTTATACCTCATGTGACAATAAGAATCAAACACTGGGGGGGGGGGGGGGGGGGGCAACCATATTAAAGTATATTAAAGTATATCCCCGGGTCAAAATCGGAAAAAATCCTACATTTTAATATACTTTAATATACCTACAATTAGAAGATTTATATTCTTCGTTAAGATTTACATTATGAACTATATTTTTCACTCAGATTCGCAAGATAAGCCTGTTTTAGGACTAGTACATGAATTTCCATCCAGATTGGTTAAAAATTGGCTGAGCTATGAGCTTAAAAAAATATGCCCACATTTGGGCATACGCTTTTGCCCAAATTCGATAAAATTTTAATATTTTTTAATGAGACTAACTCTATGTGAAAGATATAACTCAGTGTTTGTTGAATATAGTGGATACTAAGTAAAAAGACCTCCATGAACAAAATTGGGAAAATTGCACATAATATCTCGGTTATGAATACTAGCCAAAATGACTTCATTAAAATTGAAGTAACTCCATCAGTTTTCAATATTTTTTCAAGAACTTTTTGGAATCGATTAAGAATTGCATTTCAAGCTTATTTTGGGCAACAATTTTTGATGTAGGCCTCCAAGGAGATAGGGATATATTTAAGTTTATTGTAGGTATATTAAAGTATATTAAAGTATATCCCCGGGTCAAAATCGGGAAAAATCCTACTTTAATATGGTTGCCCCCCCCCCCCCCCAACACTAGATCCTGATCTCACTGATATATCTTTATTCATTTATCACTTACATGGTACAAATATAATTCCAGTATTATAAAGATACAGCAGATGTCCTATCCATGCAGATGTAGCTACAATTAGTGGATGTAGCTTTCATGCATCATACTCTACCAAATATAGCTGAATTAAAGCTATTATTAGATAGTATTGCTATAAGGTAGCGCCCTGTTGATTGGGGTAAATTATAAGTGCCAATGTGGGTCTGAGATCAGCATAGATGATACGTACGAACTCTACGAACTCCTCAGTGACAACGAACTCTACGAACTCATCAACCCAAAATTACGAACTCTTGAGGAGTTCGTTTTGTACAACTTACGTAAAATGAAATTAAACAGAAATTGTATTTACAATTCAGCCAATTCAACACATAACATACGATTGTAAAACAACTAAATATATTGGTACTCGAAACTTCTACCACGCGTCGCGTGTACACTGTACATTTCACAGTACAAGGACTGGTCGATCGACTATCAGAGATCATGCGAGAAATCCTGAGCTGATTACTTTTTTTTAAAAACATTTTCCATGTTTTTTTTTGAAAAATTGACTAACGAACTCCAACGAACTCTAACGAACTCCAAATTTTGAACGAACTCCACGAACTCTACGCCAAAAATCAACGAACTCCGCATCTATGGAGATCAGTAATTGCTACTCTGTCACGCGAGTTGGTAAAGTATTCCATTATATATGTGTTATATTTTGCATATTTGATATATTCGAACATGATTAGTTGACTCGCTGATCTGTTAATATTCACATAACATTTATGATACTTCCCAAGTAAAATACTTCCCAAGTGAATTACACTTCTTCTATCTGATACTGTATATAATATACTAAAGAACAGATAGCTAATACATTTTACAACGCTGCCGCCTTATCTTCCTCGCTAAGTACTCTCACATTTATTAAATCTTTGTTATTCTACAATAATATGTCATAATATAACATACACATGTATTATATTGTATCTTAGTATATGACATGAATATTACGTATTATATATACATTGTAATATATTTCATAATTTATTATCATATTATGATAATATGTAACATCGATCATTTCTCCGTTACACGGGAATCGCACCGCAATTTTAGCTTTTTGAGCTTGTTCAACTAAACTTTAAGTTAATATAATTACTTCCTCTCTCCGCTCTCGGTAAAATTAGCTTTTATGCCATGAAACTAGCTTGACAGTTATGTTCCGACATTTAAATTAAGCTTCCAGGCCCTCCGTCCGGAAATTTGTTTATGTAATGGTTTTGTTGGGAATATGATTAAATAACGTCAAGCCACTGCCAACAATTACTTCAAATAACCACTGCCACTGCCAACAATTACTTCAAATAACTCGAGTTTTCCAATCAGGATGTTGACGATAGAACTCTCATCCGGAGAAGAAGAAGAAGAAGACGAGAAGAGTTTAGAAGAAAATGATGCAGAGGAGGAGAATGTGGAGATCTCTGCCGACCACGAGAAGTCACCACAGAATGATAATAGCTCAGTGTTTCTTGATAACCAAGATAGGGTACCAGAGTTAACAGAGAAGGAGGTCAAAGGGTGAGTTTGTAGTTTTGTAGTTTTTTGCTTTATAATAATTATATCTTGCCAGTAATCGTTGCTGGAAAGTCGGCTGTCAGCCGGCTGCAGTTATAGATAGATCTGATCCCATAATTAGTATTCATTTTGGAAGAACTTTACAATCTGTCGAAGCACGCCTGAAGCAGACTTGGCGCACAAAAATAATTTCGGACACATCTCTAAATTCAGAGAAACAATGGTGTGCACAAATATTCTTGAAAATATAGCAGATTACCAAGATAATTATGGCACTAACTAGGTAATCTGAATTAAAAATAATAAATTAAATCAAAAATTATAAAACTTTGGTCACTCGTTGCATTTTCTAGTAGTTATCTATCAAGAAGGATTGTGTTTATAATTTTTAGTTTTAATTAATTTAATTTAAATTTTTGATTTTTGAAACGATTTTTCCTGTTTGCCAATTTTCCAGATTTTTCGATTGATCCATTGATCGAACATTGACGTGAAATATCAATCAGAAATTTTCGTTCCAATATTAACTCCTTAAATTTAATTTGGTTAGTTATCAAGCCGAAATTTAATTTGGTTAGTTATCAAGCCGAAAAAAATTATAAAAACTTTAAAGCATTGACGCCGCGCTATAGCTTTTATCTTCAATTTTCAAGTTAATGAACCTGAAAAAAAAGCTTAAAGTGCTATTAAGTGGTGTCAACAGCTTGAAAATCTTGCTAACATACATGATCACACCTCCATAAAAATATTAGCCACACTAAAAACAGTGAGATATTTTGTACAGTTTTGTTGTCTTGTTTTTCTTGTTGGATCGATTCATCTCATGTCTGAGCACGTATTTTGGAGGCCGCTTTTGAACAATCTCGTGAAACAGGGGGTGAAAATTTCTGAAGCAAAGTGCATTCTTAATGCTTCATTTATTTGCGGTACTAATGACCGAGTATATAGGTTGAGGTTTGGTAGGGCGTCAGAATTTCACAGACGACTTCTAATTAATTCTCTGTTGTTGTTACCCTTCCGCGAGTATCAAGTTAACGGCCCGACGTGTAATACTATTCCCGTCAAATGTTCGTAACATAATACTGTGCTTGTCCTACATTTTCTAAAATAATCAGACCTTTAGTAGATTTTGAGAGCCTGAAACCACAGTCTGCCCGAGTCATGAGTTTCAAAGTTTCTCGGGCCACAAGAGTCACTGTATATTGTATTTCTCACTTTTCCCCCACATTTCGACCGGGGAATGGGGATGTGTTATTATGATGTGGTAATCTCTCTGCAGATATTGTCAGGCTTTATTGCTGTAAGATTGCCGTAATGTTACATGATGTTTTGTGGCTTGGTAGTTGGTATGTCCCTACTTTGGACTATGTTGTACGTTGGTTTTGTCATCATCTCGTGTACAACGCGTCACATCATGCGATCGTATGATTTGTGACGGTAACTTACGACAACTCATTACAGTTCTCAAGGAAGTCTGCTCTCAATTGTCACATTTGGTAGCAACCTATCAAATATTAAACGTTCATTTAATTCGCTCTTCCTCGAAGCGCTACTTTTGCGATTCGTAATTTCCCCAACTTCCTTAACGTTCGTTGTACGCTTTCGTAGCAACTTTGATCGTAAAATAAAACACCAAAATATAAATTCGTTAATTGTGTTAGAATAGATAATGATATCCTGTTAGTAGTTTAGTTAAGTAGCTCAACTTAGTTTAACTTAGTCTAGTGATCAACACTAGTTTAACTTAATAACGTAGTCATCTTAATTATATACAATCCCAAGAAAGTCATAACATATATTATTTAATGTTCACATTCCTCCACTTCACACTCCAAATAAAGTAGTCCTGATAAACCACCCACTTCACGCACACTTTACACTCCAAATAAAGTAGTCCTCATAAACCACCCACTTCACGCACACTTCACACTCCAAATAAAGTAGTCCTGATAAACCACCCACTTCACACACACTTCACACTCCAAATAAAGTAGTCCTGATGAATCACTCATCAATTCTTCAGGAGGATGGTCATGTACCGGAACCCTAGTACAGAGAAGTTTCAAGCAGCGGTAACCAAGGTGAAGTTAGCTAACAGTGTAGTCCGTAGACTTCAGTTCCACACCACCAGAACCGTAGCCAGAGCCATTGATGGACCTGATTCTGCTCCTAAACGGGTAGGTTTATCAATTATATAATCGTTTATGATTCCTTTATCAAGATACTAGTTTACTAATTTTTTGTGATTCACAACTCATTGCCTGCTTTGTAGCCGTTATCCATTTAGTTCCCATTTAGTTCCCATTTAGTTCCCATTTAGTTCCCATTTTAAAAATCAGGGAGATCAGTGCTTCATCATTGAAAATTACTTATCACTGAATGATTTTTGCGTTAACTCCAAATTATGAACAATAGATCCACTCGCTGATCAAATCTTCCGAATTTCATTCAAATCATTCACTTCCAAATAAAGTGTAATTAGAATAATTCAACCATCATTCCACTGGGATTGTCGCTAGATAAAATCCTGACAACATTTAATTAAAATGGAAATATCAAAAGATGTCCATTGTCCTTACCATTACGCTATTTCTTGTTCTGTTGAAGCAACCCCAGCTTCTAACCAGATCCCATAATTACAGCAGAAGAAAAAGCCAGCAGTAGATCTGGGACACTTCCCTGCGGTGCTGAGGATGATCTGCAGGGCGGTGAGAACTACTGAACAGTGTTACTTAGTGGTGGAGCTGGTCAGTCCTGACCCTGAGAAGCTGCTCCAGTACTTGGTCATCTTGAGAAACATGTTAGTTCTTTTGTTGTTTATGCGCCTTTTTCAAGGTAAGGTTTGTAGCTTTGGTTGGAGATTAGATTGTTAGGAAGATGGGCTGGAGCAAAATAAAACGAGCGTTTTTACAAATCTGGTTAGCAATAGAAATTAAGATTACTAAATGATATCAAGTTCGAAGAGAAGATTTTAATCAAAAGTTATCCAATAATCATAAACCTCAGAAAAGTCTGTATTAAATCTTTGATATTTATATTTACTTACTATGTACACATTGTACTATGTATACAATGTACATTGTACTATGTAAGTATGTATACATTGTACTTTTCACTATGTATACAATGTACATTGTATAAATCGTACTATCTACGTATCTCAAAAACTTAGATTATATTTAACATTATGATTGGATCCAGGGATGATATTTAAGAAATTTAATTGATGGTCTGTCTAAGTAGTTGCGAGTTAGACACTGTCTGACAAAGTCTTTAGCCCCGTCCGACCAGTTCTTAGGATAAGGCAAACATGCATTCAGAATCTCCTGATCATCTACAAAAGGTCGTCTGTTGTTAAGCAGAACGTAGACAAACGTTCCCACCGTCCAAACGTCCAGACTCTGTCCGAACACCATATCTCCCACCACAGCTTCAGGTGGGCTGTACACCCTCGTCCCTCTGAACCTGAATGGTTCGTACTTTTCTTTGATCATCCTCGCAGAACCAAAATCAATCAGAATAATATTCTTTGTTTTAGATTGGATGATCATGTTCTCGTCCTTGAGATCGCCGTGGACTATCATGTTATCATGCAGCCAATCCAGCGCGTTCACAACCTGTCTGAGTATCACTTTGCCTTCAAACTCATTTTGTTTTCCTGCTAAACGAAGATAATCGAACAGAGAGACTTGACTTTGAAACTCATACACCATGCAGTAGTGAGTGAACGTACTGTAGTGGTCCAACAACTTCATTATGTTTTCGTGTGGATACCGGTCTAAGATCTCCTCAGCAATGTCCTCCAGCTGTATCCTGCCAAGTTCCATCTCTTTCAGAACAACCTTGTCCCAGTATGTAGTATCCTGAGCCAGGTACACTGTCCCGAACCCTCCTTCTCCTATCTCCCTTATCTTGGTGTAACGCTCCGGCCCAGTCTTCCCTACTGATATGTACCCCGTCTCTGTGAGGTTGTTCATGTTAAACCCAGCTTCTTCCGCACTGTAGTCCGACCAGTCCCGGCTTAAAACACAGTGCTTGTTCCGGCTTAGTTTCGTGAAGGTAGATTGGTGGGATGTTTCAGGCTTTGGTGAAGATAGATCGTTTAAAAATTTTGTCACCGGTGAGGCTGAGTTGTTGAAATTTGTGAAGAATTCGCCTAATTTAGAATTGGATTGGTGAAAAAACGGGTTGGTGAAGGACATGCTATTCGCACTATTCTCACTAGAGTGCAAGGAAAAGTGCTCTGAGGAAACACTGTTCCCGTTGGCAAACTGGGATCCAGGTCGTGGACTTCTACTGAGTATCCGTATAAACTGGACTGGGGAGGATGCTGGGAGCCCGGGAGAGGGCGTATGTGAACTTGCCTCGAAATATTCAGGACTTGACTTCCTTGCGTTCGTTAAATTAATCGATTTTGGTGGCGGTGGTGCTTTTACTGGAGTTCTTGTTTGTCGATATTTTGCCTGATCTGCGGAACTGTTAGTGGGGATAGGGTGTCGAATTAGTTTTGGATCAGTTCTGTGTATCATACTATCAACCTCATGCGTAATATCCTTGGACAACAGTGACGGGCTCTTTTCTTTTGACCCATGTTTCTCAGTTGAAAAGGGAACTTGGCTTCTGTTTTCAGATTCCTCAGAGTCAAAGCATGTTGATATCATTTCAAATTCAAAGTTCTGATTATTACTGTTGGTACTTGGCGTAAGATGATCACCAGGACGATCCTGTTTGGCATTATTCTTGGTCGGAGACTCTTCTTTGAGGCTGCACATAGTATCAATGCTTGTTTGGTTATGTTGATCTGTAGATCTGATATTGTTCACTGGTTCTTCCCCACCCGTTCCTAAATGAGAAACTTCAGGCAGAGTATTAATGTCCTCCAAATCCTTGTCATCCCCTGACTCACAGATATACGAGTCACTGTCACTATCAGTTCTGTTCTGCTGACAGGCCAGATTATCGACAATATCAAAACACTGCTCACTCTCCGGCTGCAACTCTTCCTCTATAGTGGGACTGTAGGTACGAGTACTGTGACACACGGTCACCACATCCCTGTACATACCACCACAACCTTCCTCCCCACTACCACCACAACCTTCCTCCCCACTACCTCCCACCACTCCTAACTCCGCCTCTTCCACCAGCCCTAACTCCTCCTCCTCCTCCTCGTCACTTAGCGTCTCCGGGGCGTTCTGACAGAGTCCGGACCCTCTGAAACCAGTTAATACTTCGTCTATTTCATCGTAGAAGTCTCCCAGTTTTGTTTTGATTCTGTTGATAATGAGGTATGACACGGAGCCATTTTGAGAGCGCTGGTAGGCTGAAAAACTTATGAGATCTCTAGGAGAGTTACCAGTATCAGCAGTGGTGCTGAAATCTGTCATCTCGATAGGTAGAGCGTTTTAGAGGCCTATAACTGCTTCTTCGGTGGAATCGTATAAACTACATTTAGGGCTTTTCTATTCTCCTTCTTAGATCCGATGATACGTAGAAAATATCGGGGTATAATAGTGTCGTGCATAACAAATGAAACTCAAGTTAGGCAAGATGTAAGCGTTTACACAGTTGTAGTTTAAATGTGAACAGTGTTGAGTAAAATTTGTCACGTGTCGGTCACGTGATATGCTACAGTACTGCAGCGGCATAATATGCGGTTACACAGGCTTCCCCAAGGTTGCCACACCCCAGAGGTAGGCAGAGCATCTCAATGCTATCCTCTCGTGGGCTATCATGGCCCAGCCTCTCTAAAAAAAAAAAAAAAAAAGGCCCGGCTAGAGATATACCGCAACTTTGTTTTGAAATGTGACGATGATTGTGGGATTTAAGTCAACAAAACATAATTAAGGTCACATTTTTAAAAAAATATCAAGAATGAGTCTCACCAGAAGATCCCATGAAGCTCCCAAGTATTCTCCAAATAACTTATTTCTTCTCAATTTGGTGAAAGGATAGTAAACACTGAGATTTGAGACTAATTACTCCCATAATTACCTCAATGTTAATTGTTAATGGTGCATATCTAGAAGACTAGAAGAGCCTCTTCATCATTTTTAGTTTTTCATAGATATCTGACCCAAATAAAACGACTCTTTTAGAAACATTTAAATGTGATTTTTACAGAATAAAAGTGTTGTCTAAATGTTCAACTCTAAACTGTTAACTACATCAATAAAATTCTTCCAAGATCAGTAAAATTAAGAGTTGATATCTGCAGATTTTATTGAATTAACCACAAGAATAATAACGGAAGTAGCTCAACATGTTGGCACTTCTGACCAGCTGTTTAGAAACTCTACTAATTCAGCGTGAGTGCTCGTAAAATTGGATATAAATTCAGAACCGTCAAACCCTGGGTAACCATTATAATATGTAACATATAATGTGATATTTTGTATCTCAATGAGAATTTCTCGAATCAAATTCCGCCATACCGTTCAAGTTTAACAATTTTAATTCAGCTTAAAAGAAATAAAAGGTAAAAACCAGAGAATAGCTCAAAATAAGTTGAATCGTCACAATAGAGGAATCAGTTAATTTTAAGATGTTAAGTTGAATGGTTCAGATGAACAATCCGATCAGGAATCATCATCCGTATTAAAGCACATTTATATTCCACCACTAACTCATTTACACACAGTCCAAGAAAGAGCACAATAACTTTTTAAATTATCATACGTATAACTATATAAATGTAGTAAATCGAAGAGGAGACCCAAAAGTTTGACAGTAATAACTTTTTAACTGTTTAACGCTACATTTAAAGAATTGATCATCCATTGAAAACAATAACAACAGGGAACGGCTGAAATGCATGTTTCACTGAATCACTCCTCTGCAGACCATTAATGTTGTGTAAATATTGAATTTATTAAATTTCTACATCATGTAAAAAGTTTACAAACTTAACAACCTTATTAACTTGGGTTAACTGTATTAGCTTGTGAGCTTGTGGGTAACTGTATCAATTGAAGTTATTTTAACCTGAAAATGCATTAAAAGATATCATAATAATAACAGTAAAGATTACCACCCTGTTCAGAGTTATGTATACTTCAAACTTTAAAATTACTACAAATTCAGCTACATAAATCCATATTTCGCTAATTTTAGCTAAACACGCAATACTTTTATCAATCTACATCGAATATTTAAAAGTAATGTTATTACATAAAAATTACAGCCCCGAAGTAGCTAACTGTAACTTAGTTAGGTGTCAGGTAATAGTACGAACTTGGATATTCCTGAAAGTGAAACAGCAACAGAAACAACTTAACATATTGCTGCGTGCTGGAATTTCAGAGTTCTGATCAAAAAACGTTACTAGTTCACTGTGTGTAGCTGTAAAAGTCGAAAATAATCTACCATAATTTGATGTTATATACCAATGAGAAATGTGATAATTCGTCCCCCTATGTGGGTTTCTCAAATCAAATTCTACTACACCGTTCAAATTTAATAGTTGTAACTCAGCACGAAGGAAAGGTAAAAACCAGAGAATAGACCTAAAATATGGGTTAATCGTAACAATATTAGTAGAGGCATTTGTTAATTTGAAGATGTTCAGTATATCAAGACTTATGCGAACATTCGTTAAACTAAAAGGATTTGAGAACAATAATGTTGGATAATGAAAAACATAAGCAACGCCGGCTAAAATAAATATTATTGCTGTAAGTACAATCAAAAATCCAATTCCTACTACATTATCACCTGCATTATTAAAAACTTCAACAACTACGTTCATGAATAGTGCTAATCCAACTATTCCAAGTATTCCGACAATTATAAGGGCGAATGCGCTTAGTATAAAACACGCGAAATGGGAAGGAGACTTTATAATGTTAACTGGTGAGAACACCCTTAACAACTTCTGCTTGACTATTCTACAACGTATGCTACATGGATGATCTAATCTATCAAACGCTTCAATAATCTGAATGCTGTAGTTACATAATCCTGGGCTAGGGTTATCTTTCAAATAATTGAAAATACCATCATTTGCCATCTTACGTAATTCTCCTATAGTTTCAAAATCTATGGAGAAGTCATTTCCTTGCACATCAATCCAATCGAGCACGATTTCTGCGAAGTGCCAACACTTCAGGTTACTGTTTTTATCGAGCAACTTAATGTCGTCAACCGAGTATTTTCTCCAACAGCGAGTCCGACGTATCAGTTCTAATCTTATTTGCTTTGGTGACGCACATTCGGTCTTCGACAGATCCATGATAGACTTTAGACAAGAGTATGCTGATTTCGATATTTCTCTATTATCTGTATCCGATGAGATTGTCATGATCTTATCTATCACTTCATTGACTTCCGACCAAAACACACATAACACATCTGCCTCATCTGATTTCTGTATTCTTTCAAATAAACCAAGAACAACCTTACATTTCTCATTAGAGTCAATCTTGTTAAAGGTGTTAACCCAAACATCCAGCAAAACATCAAGATGGTTATTTTCTGATTTACACAGCGCATTTAAGATTATTTCATCGAAATCGTCGAAATCAGCAACAAGCAATTGTTCTTCTTCTTCTGTTACGGTCGCCACAAGCAAGTCTTTGAAACTTTCCTTGCTTGAGTTGTTTACCAAGTCCATTACTATTTGAGTTCCTTTTATTCTGTTAGTCAGACTTTCTTCTGAAAATCCTAATTTTCCGAGCATGTGAATTGTTTTTAAAGTCCTCCCAAAGGTCTCTGTCTTAAGATTGAACTTTAACCAACAATTGATCTCTTCAATAAGCGGGACAATATCAAATGTCAGTGCAAATGTCGTTATTACCTGAAACAAGTCCAATATAAAGAGGCCCAGAACCATAAAATGATATATTATGCTAAAGAGCATGCGGCTCAGTTTCAACACGTGTTCTTAAAATTCCGTGTAGAATAATTAGCGAACCAAAATTAATTACGTCCAATAATTAGATAATGACTTACAATAACAAAATACAACTACTATAAACAAAGGTACCTTTATATTGTCGAAAGTAACATCGACTTCAAATCCCTTCAGCAAGGAAATACAATCTTGGACCTCATTCCAATTTCCATTAAATCCGTCAATCAGCCAGATTTCCCCGTTTTCAATCGTCTCCTCAAATGTTTCACTCCATCTGGTAAGCTCGTGTCTCTGTAAGAAGAATGGAGGATTGTCAGCTGGTTGCACAAACACTTTGATTTCATCAGAAATTTCGGGTTGTTCATCATCTCTATCCTCATTTGGCAGTTTTAGTTGCATTATACCTGTAACCTAGGTGATAACATTATATCAGTAAATTTGTTGATCTGTCGAGGGATTACGGACACAGAAAAAGCAGTTGTGGCGGGCAATTTCAAACATCTATATAAATACTGAAATTATTAGCTAAAGTAGCCAGCAAAAGTTACCATGAAAAGACAAAGAAATTATGACGAAATTAACTCAAAGGCCTGATATGGAATGGAAATAAGATAATACAAATAAAGTTTTTATCGCCACAGGTCAGAATTAAGTAGCAAACGTGCAAATAATTCCATGCGGATCTGTTGTGTCACAACGACACACCTAGAATTCCATGAGCTTTTAGCCAGTTATTTATTTCGTTAAATGGTATAGTATTATTCTTAGTAAGTAGTACTTCTTTTGTAGTACTTCTTTTGATGGTGCAGTTTGGTAATCTGATATATAATATGATGATACGTCTAGTTTAATGATACTTCTATTCTTGATATTGTCAAATGTTTTTTCAATGATTATATTCTTAAATGAGACATTGTCGAAAATGCTCCTTCCTTTAAGGAAGTGCTGCTTGTTTGCAATTGCACCTTCAGCCTAGATATAAAAAGGGATTTCTGGGTATTATAAATTTTTAGGAAAACTGGAAAAAGCCACTTCCTCCTATGTCCGTCGAATAATATTTTATATTACCAATGTTACAATAGGCTTTTATGGGGGTTTAATTTAGGTACATTGCAATTTGATTCGATATTTTGAACGACTGTTGATCTTATACAATGATTACAAGGCACAAGCGCCAAATACCGTGAATTACTTTATTTAATCCCATCTAACGCAAAGTAAAACTTGAAATAAACAAAAAATACAACAGTACTTAAGGGCACGTCTCTCCCGAACGTTGGGATGGCCTGAGGTGCTTGTCGACTTTTCAGTAACCCTAAGCCACTCTGTGCCGAGGCACAATACTATCTGTAGGGGGTTAGTCCTACGAGCCAGAGGGTGTGTAACGAACAGAGCACGCAATATATTGTATACATGCAGTAACTAGCTTGTCAAATAGGAAGCACATATCGAGTAGCTAGGGTTAGCGGTTTTAATGACGTTTTATGAATTCAGGGTGTTCCCTCTGTAACTCAATAATTAGATAGAGAGATCGGATTTCACTCATTTAATAGGTACACGGGGATCTCCGTATGCGGCGGTAACAATTGGTGACTAATTCAAATGAAATCTCTGTTGTTGTGACCCTTTAAACAAGTACTGCGGGCTGCTTAACAATGACGTGCACATAAAAATGCTGATAAAATTAGGCGCCACCGTGTAAGCGAACTATGCTACTGATAATGCTTATACCCTCTCATTCGAACACTCAACATGCATGATCATGATATCACTTTCTCACTTCAGAGGCTAGAGCTAAGAATTTGAATCTTCATATTTTGTGAATCATAATATTATGTAAACAAATTTATGCAAGGTATCTATGGATACAGGATATTTAGGAAGCATAATATGGAAATGAATGATCTCATTTTTAAATCCACACGAACCGAGGGATGATGGTTAATCACTCTACACTCGACTGTCACGTGACTTTTTCAACCCGTTCTCTAGCTGGCCCAGACTATTCGAAACCCTAATGGCTAACCCTCTAATCTGATCTCATCCCTAACCCTAACCCAATCCTTAAAGTTAACAAAAGCATATGCTGAAAGTTGAAACCCTAACCCTAACGATAATTAGGCCAACTTCCTTATAGTTATACAGTCATATCACGTTATCGAGGCATTTTTTTCGCCAAAATCTCCCTATGGAAGCATTTTAACCCTATGTCATGGGGTTGATTGAGATTCGGAATCAGTGTCCGAAAATACATCGATTCAAGTTGGTTTCAACTATCGGGGGGCCGTTTTAGAAAAATCTCGAATATCGAGTGATTTAGCACGCTCGGTTCGGAACCGAACATTACAACTTTATGTCATTATAATTAAAATTAAAAGGATAAATCTAATAAATGACCTTCAGAAACGAGGAGGGACAGAAGGAGGACATGATGTTGGGAGCTGAAGCGGAGCTGATCGAGAACCGACCAGCTAACCTGCGTTTCTGTGTGGGAGTACCTGTCAAGAGTCACGTGACTGTCAAACTGGACGATGGAGACGGCAGGTTGGTTTTGACAGTTTTCATGAATTTATCATGACGTCATTTTTTGCTACATTTTATGTTTGATTTCTTTATTTTGTGGCTATTATGGCTAACGTCTGAGCCAGTGGCACAACGAGTGCAAATTTCAAAAGGGAAAACATTATTAGCGGCATTTCAAGTATATTATGAGTTTAGATTGAAATTGGCTAATCTCCTCTGAATTGAATACAAATAACACACGTTATTGCCGACGTTTCGCCCCCATGGCTTCTTCAAGGCGGAACAAAAACTTTGTTACATAGTGACCTGGTAAATATCCAAATTAATACATAAAACTCTGAGAAACATTAAAAATAAATGGGAAGATTCTAAGCGGTAGAAAATTTTAAAGCAAAAGATAGATGTTAGGCCAAAGAATCTAGAACTGTCCAATATTTGAGAGCTAGACCAACGTACACAGAACAGCAACGAAAATAGCTTCCTACTCCCTAACATTTTCGGGGAAACTGAAAGGGTGCCACGTACATATATTTTGATGACATTTACATAATAGCCCATGTGGTCTTTTGCCACGAGTCTGCTTCAGGTGAGAGCTGAGTGTTTATTTTAGGAAGTAACTGCTTGATATACAGTGATTGCCAGATCATTCGGTCTGCATAATCCTTACATACTTTGAGGACTTCAAATTTAAATGGTTCGATAGGAATTTCTTTTATTCCAGGGTGTGACATGAGATAATGTTTCCCCATGGCTGTCTTGTTATTTTTATTCCTTACAGATTTTAGGTGTTCCCAGCATCTGTTGCGTTTGAACCTGCCTGTTTCACCACAGTACTTTGCATTGCAGATATTGCATGTCAGTTTGTACGCTATGTTCTTCTGCATACATAGATCATCACAATCATAGCACTTTGAAGCACTCTGTTTGTTACATGGTGTAGGGTGTAGTGCTGATCTAGTGAGTATTTCTCCCAGTTTCTTGTCCGGATAAAATGATACTTTGGTTTTGTCCAATAGATCATTTTGACGTAGAATCTGATATACTTTCCGTTTGTGGTATTCATTAACATATGGGAGGCTTAGGTACTGTGTGATTCTCAGTCGTGTCTGGTTAGGTGGTTTATCTTTGTTTATTTCCCTCGTCAACCTCTCTATAACACTGGGTGTAAAATCGTTGGAGAGTAACATGTCTTTGATTTTATTTACACCACGTTGTTTGAATTCGTCTGTAGACCCATTTCTCACTGCTCTTAACAACTCGTTCCTAGCACTATTCATAATAGTACTTCTCGGATGTCCAGAGTTGTAGTTGAGGAATATGCCCAAACTTGTCGGTTTTATGAAGAGTTCGAATTGTGGTTTATCTGAGTTCTCTTGCAAGTGGATAGTGAGATCTAAGAAGTCTATTTGTTTAGGGTTAGCTTCATATGTGAACTGAATTTTCGGGTTAAGCGTGTTAACATACTTAAAGAGTTGACTGACGTCATTTTCTGTTCCTTCCCCTATAGTGATACAGTCATCAACATACCTGTTCCAGCAATACACAGGCATGAGATTTGATGGTCTATCTCCTGGTTCAGCTTCACTGTATGTGAAATCTTGTTCCAGTAATGGTTTCTCTACTGTCAAGTATACGTATATGATTGCAAATGGTGGGGCTGGTTTTACTCCCATCCCTAGTCCTTCCGTTTGTCTATAGTATTGTTCATCAAATCTAAAATATGCAGACTGAGTCACGGTTTTCAGCATAGTGACAAAGTCAAGGTGTTCTATCCCAAGCATATCGATTTTATCCCTGTGATGTTTGATAAAGTCTGAGACCACTTTGACTCCATGTTCCAGTGGGATGTTGGTGTATAGGCTCTTCACATCGGCTGTTATGAGCATGTGATTGGAGTTTATTGAGCATTGTTGCAGTCGCTGTCGGGCCTCAGTGGAGTCTTTGAGGTGAACAGGTACATACTGAAGGGCTTGTTTCAAGATGTGGTTGGTAGCATGTCCAAGTCTCTCTCCTGGTGAGTCAACTTGTGATGTTACTGGTCGTAGTGGGGGTGGATTGATTTTCTTGTGTGTCTTGTATGTACCATAAAACTCAGGTAATCTTGGACAATAAGGTTCAACTCCTTCTAGTTTAGGGTATTTCTCTATCAGGTGTTCACATAAAAGTTCGATATCACTTATCATTGCTGGGAGCGGCAATAACGTGTGTTATTTGTATTCAATTCAGAGGAGATTAGCCAATTTCAATCTAAACTCATAATGATAGACCCTCTGACAAGGGCAAAGCGTCATATATACGCTACAAACTCAATTTCAAGTATATATCATGATTTGATTTGAAACTTTTACAAAATAGCAAGTATACAAATGTACAGCAATTCGAACAAACATATAAAATGGGCCGAAATGTATAAATGCTAAAAAGCGTGGGTCAGTGAAACAAGTACAGAGGACAACTTTCAGAACAAGAGTTTTTTGGCCGCCCAAAGTCTCAATAACATCACCTCCACCTAGTAATAAAATTATGAAATGTGAAAAGTGTGAAACAATCAAATAATAATGTATGTATATAATATAATTGTCTCTCAAATACAGATAACGTCCGTTAACTCTTAAAATACCCCTACAAGTACATATTATACTTGGTGGTGTCCGAGAAACATGAATTACGTCATCATGGTGTCTTCTTAACCCGGCTACAGACCTTCCCGTTACGGATGTAGTGGTCGAGATGAGTCTGTTCAGCCCTCTTCTTCTTCAGGTCAGTTACCACGTTCTTCCTTGCTGCACGCTCTTCACTGGATCTATCAGGACAGATCCATACATTTTTGTGTGCATCAGCCATCTTCAGTCTCCCTGTTTTCATCAGAATCTGATGAACTGCTGTTGAGCTTGGGACGGTGATCTTGACTGGTCGGATAGCCGTACCTGGCCTCTTCCAGCCGACTCTAGTCGCTTCAAAATGAGGTTTCTCCCCGATCTCCTCCAATAGTGCGGTTACCAGAGCTGGTAGCTGTTCTTCATCCTCTTCTTTCAGACCAAACACTATCAGATTCTTGCTCCTGTCCTCCTCTGCAGCCACACTCTTCATTACATTCTTCAGAATTTTACTGTTGCAGACCGCGCCACTTGTGCTGTTCTTTTGTACAGCTGCACTGTAGCTCTTAATTCCTGTCTCCACCGTTGTTTGTACTGTCTCTTCAACTGAGGTCTTAAACAACTGTAGTTGTTCGTCCTTCTGCACTAGCATCTGGTCCTGCAACCTGACCATCTTTTCCTTGTCTGCTAGTGCTTCCGTCTTGAGGCACTCAACGATTTCCATCATAGCGCTCATTTGACTACTCTGCCGTCGTACGAGGTCTGCTGCTTGCATAACCCAGTTTGCCATATACCTTTTATAGATAGACGGAGACATGAGTATTTCCTGGTCCATATTTCCACGAATTTCGAAGTTTTCTAATTTCAGTTCTCTTGCCATCGAAGTGAACCATCTTTCAGTACAGCCCTCTACATCTTCCTTTTCTTCGTAGTTGAAATCCTTGATTTTCTTCTGAGATCGGGTCAAATTCAGATCATCCTCCATGGTGTACTTGTATAATAATGTACAATTACACAAGCAAAGGCTAACTACGCGGTAGCAGCAAACTGATCATAAATTATTAAAACCCTTTCTCTCTCAGTTTTGTAGTGTGTGATATGCGAACAAGTCTGGTCCTGAAACCTGCTAACATTCAGTCTCAGTGGGCAGCCATTAACTTCCTCTCCGGCTCCCTACAAAACGCTCTTGATAACAACTTCTTCCTCTACGGCAAGAGTCACAAATGGTGCTCCTTTTATACCAACCAAAATGACGTGAGTCACGCAATAAGACTTTTAATTTTGTCATTGATAATTGCGATCTTTAATTAATTATAGTCACTTCATTTACTTTAATTACTTACTTTAACTACTTTAATTACTAAAATCTAATATTTGCAGATTAAGAACTTTTCCTGAAAAGTTTTACTTTTTGTGTAAGGTAAAAGTGTTAGCATACTTCCTCCTTCTGTTTTTAACATGTTAACAAGAGTACTATCCACTCAGATGGGCAGTGCAAGTAACTGGAACTTGTCCAGTTTTAGGAAAACACCAAGAAAGAGCATCATGGAAATATTTGACAAGAGGGCTGCGTTTGATAATCAGAAATCCCCGATCGGTGTCACTAAAAACCTCCTCGATGTTGAACCTTCAGCAAGGGTTAGCCCGATAATATTATGTCTGCAGTCTGTCATCTCATACTTTCAGATAACACGGCTTACTAAATTACATTTTAACGAGATATAATGCATTTTCACGATATCTAACAGGAGCTGCCGATTGCTTCTCTGGACGAGTTGTCTCGGTTGATTGTTCTGACGATAAGGAGCGTTATGTACAATATAGACCTCGATGAAGCCAGCTGTAAATCCATCAGGTCACTACTTCTCAATGTTTGATAACTTCGCAGATTTTTATTCGGCGCGTTATTTGCAAGTTTATTTTAATTTGAAACGTTTATCTGGTAAATTAATCATCACTCCGTACTTTAAAGAACACAAGTGGAAAAAGATATGGGAATGAGCCTGAATCATTACAAGAATTTTATCGAAGAGAAAATCCTGATGACACTCGGTCAGATGGACGAACCGTCTCTAATTAAAGACTACCTTTACCTTGGTAAGTAAAGTGAGCTGATATACTGATGGCACGTGATCAGTTACTGTTAGCTTAGATCAATCGGGTATTATATCGTCAAACAGAACAGAAGAACAAAGTCTCAAACTCTACCTTAGTACCTTCTGAAAAGGGCCTCATTCTCGTGACCATTTGATCAATTACAAAATGCTTATGGATTTTACATTTTCTGTAAAATTTATATTCCTCCCAAATAATTATCCATTCCTCATGTCGTTAAACAATGTTTACTCCTCCAGGATCGGAATGGAACGCGTGTAACTACGAGGAACTGGTTGAGAACGGCATAACTCACATTCTCAACGTTACCTCAGAGATAGATTCTCCTTTCGAGTCTTCATTCGACTATCTTAGGTATTAAAGCCACTATTAAGTACTAAGATATTTACAGTGGGCATTAGTCGTGGGTGTGAGTAAGATACTATCATCACATCATGATAACAATAACAAATAATTACAGTATTATACCCTCTCTAAATCCTTCTCCCCGTCAAGGATCGAAGTGTTGGACGTGCCGAAGTCTAATCTTTTGGAACACTGGGAAAATACTCATAAGTACATTAAGAATTGCCGGGACTCCAAAGGCAAGGTAAGTCCCCCCAGACGTGATTATTTAAGGCAAAATTAGCCAAGTTGCATAATGATTCATCACTAACATATTATTTAAGACATTAATATATAAAATCCCAACCATGATGTTTACTCCACTTGCCCTTCAGGTGTTAGTACACTGCCAGATGGGAATCAGTAGATCAGGGTCCACCACTATGTCCTACTTAATGAGAGAATACGACATGTCGCTCTCAGACGCCTCTTCCTTCGTGAAGCATCGCAGGTCTTGTGTCAAACCTAATTGGGGTTTTCAAAAACAGTTAGAGCTCTATCAGAAAACCATCACAGAGTATCACAATGATGAACAGACATTGAATCAAATCCTGGATTCTACTGATATCAATGAACTTTATGCAGCTGGTGGTGAAGTAGGATAGAATTCAGTCTTTTTAAAAGCTCCTTGTCAGCTTTCAGTCAGATTAGTTTGCGAGTGAAAATGAGGTACTATAAAAATAAGTAAAGAGCGTGCATCTATCGATAGTCGATGTATATTGTATGAAGAATACTGAAGAGTAAGTGATGGAGATCAAATAATTTTGATGGATTCCATGATTATCAAAACTGAGGCAGAATCGAACTTGCAAATTTATGCAGTTTTTAATTAAGATTTTTGAGTTTTTCAATATGTTGATAAACGACACGTCCTTATAGTTATAAATATATTTTAATTCGATTCGTTAGATTTGATAGAATCATACAAATATTAAGGGGTTTATAATGATTTAAAGCTTGTAAAGATAACCTTAAATTTTTTGAAGTTTTTAATTGTAATTGTATTCAGTAAACATTCGGCGATTTCATTCATCGTTGTTTGTGAACTCATGATATCAGTCAAAATCAGAATTCCTGAAAACCGCTTTGTAATTGTTCAATAAAACAGTTGTAGTTGTACAACAACACAGATTTCACTTGGACCTCATAGACAAACTGAAGCAGTTGCTTGGCAAGACGAATCTTAGATTTCTCGAGCGTGCTAAATCACTCTACAGTCGATCTTCGAGATTGTTCTAAAAGGGCCCCCGACAGTTGAAACATACTTCAATCGATGTATTTTCGGACGCTGATTCCGAATCACCCCCTATGACATAGGGTTAAAATGCTCCCCTGACGAGATATTGGCGAAAAACTGTCTCGATCACGTGATATGACCGTATAAGGAAGTTAGTCCAATTTTTCGTTAGGGTTAGGGTTTCAGCATATGCTTTTGTTAAGGATTGGGTTAGGGTTAGGGTTGGGATCAGATTAGAGCTGTTAGGGTTTAGAAAAGTCGTTCAGGACCAGCTAGAGAACAAGTTTTCCAGGACGATTCTATGTGCTATGGCTAATTTCAGCCGAGAACCGGACACGAGGGCGTTGGACACAAGCCACAAGGGCGTCCTATTCCTAAAAGGGTGGACACAAGGGCGAGTCACATGACTCAGTTTAACATGGACATGAGGGTGGAACCAAACACCGTCCTAAATTAATGAACTATAAGTAATAAACTTGTAACACTCACTTTGGAGTTTGGTTACCTTGGTGTGCTTTAAGTTCACAGAATCCCATATTGCATATCGGGTTATCAGAGTTGCTGACCACCCGGACAGCGAGGTCACTGCTTTAATTCCACTCTAATCCAGTAACGAGTTTCCATTCTGGTGCAGCTGTATCCTGCCACTGGAGGCTCATCTGGGAATGTTTTCACAAACATCGTAAGCATTTCTTTAAAGTGCAGGGGATTTCGATAGTATATGGAGGTTTGGTTGGATTAAGTTCCACAATCGAGGTCCGATAACTGCAAAAAAGATATGCTAACATTTAGAATACATCTTGGTTTGGTCCCGTTCAAAATTCAGCATTTTGGCCGGGACCGTACCGAAGTTCCCAGTCCGATTTTCAGCGGGACCGGGATCCCGGTCGAGCCTTGCTCAAGACCCATGTTTTTTGGCTCATGGCCATACTCACATTGGATTACATGATCGTACAAATAAAGTTACCGACTTACCTAGGGGCCCCAGGCTATAATATAATGTTTATAAACATGATATGAATAAAAATTCGGCGGAATGATGCAGGCTGAGCGCAGCCCAGTAACGGAATGACAGGCTAGCTGAGCGTGAGTGAGCGCCTTCCAATAATTATATTACCACTCGCCATGAAAATCCTGCAGCTCAACTTGAACTACATTACCTGAGGACCCCAGGCTATTATGTTCATAAAGATTTGGCGGAATGACAGGCTGAGCGCGGCCCAGTAAGAACTACAATGATTTTTTTGATTCACGATGTCAATCCTTCGCAGCTCGGTGAGGCACAATAGTGCATTTCGCCGATCTACCGTGGTTGCGAGAAGAATTATTTAATGCGCGGCGCGACCCAGTAGTGCATCGCGCTACAATTGGATTTTCACAATTTTTCTATGTTGTTATGGAACATTTTATTTTTAAGCAACCTTCGTATAAATAAATAAGGTCCATTGTGCTTGACCAATCTAATGAAACATAAGTACTGACTGCCTTGAAATCTAATCAACCTTCGAGCTTCGATTTTCATTTCGATTAGTTCGATTCTTAACATGCAGTCGTTTCACTTGTCTAAGTCAAACTCAACGTAATGAAATGTGAATTTGAAGCTAATAATTGGATTAAAAATATTCCAGGAAATCTTACTGATATGACAAAAGATAATATGATATTGAAAAATTATCACCTCTAGTAACACGGCCAGCCAGTAAGATTTCCTTGGAACCCGGACAGTCTTTGCACGTTAGAAAAAATATCTCAAACTTTAAATTTAATGCCAATGTTTGGCAATCAGCGCGCGCGGGAACATGATTTGCATGATTTTGATGTACAAATTCTATAAGTATCAGCAACCGGCAATACTTATAATTATATTTTTATTAGCCCCGGCGTCCAAAACAGGTGGTGTAATTCTTATTCCTTCATCAAGTTATTCTGTTGTAGGTTTACAACCTACCAGGACGCGCGCCGAGTTGGAACAGATATTTTACGAGTATCACCCGTTAAGTTATTCTGTTAAACACAATTTTAAGCTTCTTTGTTAACAATATATAGCCTCGTGATGCTAAGGAGTTAATATTTCATCTAATGTTAAGGTTCGCTGAGACTTATTGACGGGGCACGTTTTCAGTGATGCACGCCGCCGCCGGACGCCGCCGCGCCGGCACATTTTCACACGCCGCCACACCGATACCTCTCAAGTCGGCGTGGCGTGAAAGGAAATAGAAAGAGTATGGAGCCAGTCGGGGTTGATTTTGAACTCTAGGAGATCCAAATTGTCCAACGACAATGTTAAGAATTTGACTTTTCTTAAATATAATTGTAAAAACCACCAAATATAACTGTAAAAACCACACTTATTACATCATTATTTCATGCACGCACGTACGCCACAATTTTTGTGGGCCTGGAAATTCAAACCTAAATTTTGACAAAATTATGTTCCACGCCGCCGAACGCCGCCACGCCGGGCCATTTTGGGCACGCCGCCGCCGGTTGGCTAAAAATGAACCGGCGTGCATCACTGCACGTTTTACATTTTCTTATTGTCCTGCTGGTTTGTTGACCAGCCTCATAGAGCTAGCTCCGTGAGGCCGAGGCTGGTCAGCATATCTTCAATTTATTACATATTTTTTACACGCTAACCTAACCAGCTGATGGGCATTATCATGACATAAATGTTATTTATAATGAATCTGGTTACTGCATTAAAACCCCAATTTACCGTGGAATTTTGACGGATCACAGTTTAAATTTACCTCTGTAGCTATTCCCACGATAGAAATCTTATTTTTATCAACGGCCGTGATGAATGGATTTCCAGTAGGATTTCCAGTAGAAATGGATTTCCAGTAGATTTCAAGTCGAATCACTTCGGGCTTATTTTGATAGCTTTGAGCTATTACAAACCAGTTGCTCCTCTTCTCACTAACTATCGGACGATTTACGTACTAAAGTTCGATAACGAAAGTTCGTGGTTTTCGAATGTCACTATACTATTACATCGGGTCTCAATAAGAGGTCTCCACTGCCTAGGCATCAAACCTTGGCAATCGGTAATTTTCCTCTGGCCCGGAGTCAGCTGACCCTAGGGACCAGAGGATAAAGACGTAGAGACTGTGTGTATCTACAAAAGTGGATGTTTTTACAAGAGACAGGGCTTGCAATGCAAGGGAAGAAAAATGGGCGAAACAATCATAAAGTGTATATTATATGAATTAGCAAATAGAAATTCAAACAATCCTACGCTACAATAAATGTTTATTACACAATTACTACTATTATACTAATACTATTACTACTATTATACTAATGAACGTTATAAATTCGAGATCCTGGTCATGGTAGAAGTAGAACCTACTAACCTACAGGTGGACATGGATTAAGTTTAACCCATTTACCCGAGCTAACTGTCAATAAACTTAATAATCACTTCTGCTAATTGAGCGAGCATGCTGTCTCTTTTATTGTGCATGTGGATGGCAAAAAAACAGTATTGTCTTTGAGGTGCTGAAAGTTAAATTACCAAAGAAAGTTTTGATTAACAGAAAATCATCAAAATAAAAAATAGATTTTGGATGATCTTTGAAGAAAAGCTTTTCTGCCGTTTTCTTGGCCGAAATTTCGCTGTTTGACTCAATTGTTGTTTTGGCTGTTATAGTTGTTATATCAAAATTGTTCAAAAAGTAGATAGAAACATTTTTTTAAGTAGATTTTATATTATTTCCTTTCAGTGGATAAAAACGCAGCTAAATTAAAACACGACAACTGAAATGCTACGTAATGTTACGTGAAAATCATGAAATATTTAGCGCAATCACTATACTTTCAACATTTTCATTTATTTATTTCAAATCTTCTTAAAATGCCTCTCAAAATCTTAATTTTATTTCGAAGTATCCATAACAGAAGTCCGATAAAGAATTCAAACCAAAAAGATAAATTATTTTAACAACTCATGTTTGCGCTGATTAAACCACTGTTAGCTCCGGGACCGTTTTGTCCTCCCGCCTTAGTCTTCAGCCAGCAGTGGTTATCAGACTTTCTCAGAGTGAAGGAGACGCAGTCAGCAGCGTCAAAGCAGCTCGTGTGACAATCCACATATCCATTAGATGGGAAGTTTCTCAAATCTGCACCCCAGAAATTAAATCCGTCCATGGCACATCTATTGTCTGTGGCCTCAAATTCAGGGGAACAGTCGATATTCATGCTGACTAAATCAACATTTGGTGAGGGTCCGCTCTGTCCACCTCTCTTCGTCTTCAACCAGCAGTTGTTGTCAGATTTTTGAAGTGTGAAGGACTGACAATCCTGAGCCATCCTGTAGGAACGAGCACACCGATCAAAGCTGGCGGCTCTGAAGTTTCTCAAGTGCGCTCCAATGAAATCTTTGCCGTCTCTTAAACAGTCTTTGTTGAGCTCCTGAGTTTCACACTCCATATTCCTACTGATCAGGGCGTTGTTTGGAGAGGGTCCAGTCTCCCCTCCTCTCTTCCTCTTCAACCAGCAGTAGTTGTCTGACTTTCTCAGAGTGTATGATTGGCAATCAGCTGTATCACTACACGCTGTGGCACAGGCCTCATAGCTCTCAGCTCTGAAGTTCCTGAAAGTTGCACCCAAGAAGTCAAAACCGTCCATGGCACATGATCTGTCGGAAGCTACAAAGCCTGGTTTTGGAGCACAGTCGATGTTCATACTGATTAAATCATCATTGGGTGAGGGTCCAGACCGTCCTCCTCGCTTGTTCTTCAGCCAACAATAGTTGTCTGAGTTCCTGGTGATGGCTTTGCAGTCGGGTTCGTTAACACATGCCATGGCACAAGCTTCAAGGCTTGATGCGCTGAAACTTCGGATGTCAGCTCCCCCAAAGTTGAATCCAACTCTCTTGCAATTCAAGTCATATAGTTCTGGTTCTGGTTCTGGTTCTGGTTCTGGTTCTGGTTCTGGTTCTGGTTCTGGTTCTGGTTCTGGTTCTGGTTCTGGTTCTGGTTCTGGTTCTGGTTCTGGTTCTGGTTCTGGTTCTGGTTCTGGTTCTGGTTCTTTTTGATGTTCTTATCGCATTTCTTTGCAGCTTTTCCTCCCTTCTTGTCTCCTTTTGCTTCCTTTTTGTTTCCTTTTCCTCCTTCAACGAATGCAAGGACGGCTACGATAGCCACTAGAAAAACGAAAAGTCTCGCTATTGTGCTGATCTGGATCAAAAGTGAGGTACGGACCACAGGAACGTACTTTAAATACTATAGTCCGGCTCCGTCCTCCCAGAGTAAAGTCAGTTTAGTAAATTGAGGAGTGTCTGTACAATCAGTACAATTTGTGAAAAGAAACTCATGGTTAGTCTATAAAACACACGAAAAGCAGTGTGCTCCTTACCCATTAGCCTCTACCTTTGTTATCAAAACACGTGATTCGATCACGTGATGTTATCTCATTGTAAACAGGGTTTATTTGTTTGATTACGTGTAGCTTATGGTAAAGTATTAACACAAGTTAACTAATAATATTATGTATATGCAAGCACAGATTCGAAGTAGAAGGAAATTTCGAGATCGTCTGGAAGGGCTGATCTAAAAGCAAGCTCTGCTCAGTATTTATAGCTAATCTAACTAAACTATCACTAACGAGCTAGTTAACAAATATATGACATCTAACTTTGCTCTACAAATTAATTATCTTTCGCCGCGATTTTCTAGATTTTCGCGGCACGTGCAGAATCGCGATTTTTACCATTCTCCGCGACCAATCGCGATTTTTGACGTTTGCCGAGACAAATCGCGATTTTCTCAGATCCTCGCGACAAATCGCGATTATTCCAGTTCGCTGAGGACCAAATTTGCGCATTCTCCTTTAACATTTAAATCCGAGGGCCAAATATCAAGTTCTTTATAATTATATGGAACCAATCACATGTAGGTACGGACCGAATGTAGGTACGGACCGAAAAAATATTTTCGGCTCATAAGGATCAGGGTAGCATGAACATAAACAAAAGTAGTTTCCAGAAAAACTTAATTTCGATTTAGAAAATTTTTGGTCCGAGTCATTCTCGATAGGTACAAGGAAAGTGCATCAATATGTAAGTTACTCTCCTTGCTTCTATATAAATATAACCTTTATAATAATTCTTACGTAAACATTATAATAATTTTCTATTATCACTAGAAGCCGTACACACCTATTATCTACCCAGGAAACCTTGCTGGCTGGGGCCTAACTTCGAAAGTAAAAGAGCTAGAGACTTTTTTTTGCAAAATGTTCGCCTTGTAAAAGTAACGTTACCTCCCCAGGAGGAAAATTAGGGACATTGTAAAGAGAGAGAGAGCGCTATTGAAAAATTATCACCTCTAGCAAGCCCGCCAGGCAATAAGGATTCCTGGGATCGAAATTCTGTTTTAAAAAACAGTAATGCCGGCCGGGACCGGGACCGGAGCAAAAACGCCAAATCCCGGCCGGTATCCCGGTCGAGCTCTGCTTGTAATTGTATCACGTCGTGACCCCCCAATCCCAATCCCATTTCACTTATAAGTATCGGTGCGAAAGCCACGACACAGCCGCGTACTCGTGCAGGCCTACAACGTGTGGCAATTACCGTTTACTTCTAGACTCTAGCTAGGGTCTTAGATTACAATATTTACTAGGAAAATTGCAAATCACCTACCCGGTACAGATTGCAAGGATGTAGATTATTGTGCAAATGGGTCCGCTTATCTTAAACCTAATTTACAATTGAATAATGTAATATTATACAGGCACAGGAAGCAGGCGTGATATTTCCTCTGAATCCAAATGTGAACCGAAAATCATTCATGATCTTGGTTACAACTACAAGACGTTACATTACCCTCTATTTACACTCCTTGGCTACACGAGGAGCCATACCAACAACCAATAGTAATACGATGACAGGAGAACTTTCCAAGTACTAGCCTGATTGATGAAATTATGATAAATCGATAATAACATTTTATTCCCTTTTATCTAATTATCTGGTCACTGATATCTTTTGCAACGACCAACAAATAACATTCGATTTACTCGAGCACTAGTCACGTTTGCATTTTGGGGTTGGATTTCCGAAACGATGATTCTGATAGTTCTCCTACTTGGGGTGAGCCTAGCAGAAGTACAGGCGGCCAAACAGTCGTGTCCCGAAGCTAAACAACTATTTGAGCGGTGTCTCAATCGTGGTGAGTCTCCAAGCCAGTTTAAAGTATTGATTATCATCTTGCTGAAACCTCCTCTAACCGAATTTAATTTTTGCTCGATTCTTTACAATTTAGTAAGTTTTAAGAAGTACGAGCACGACGTTGACAAATAAATGTCCAGGGTACGAAGCACGGCAATTGGAATACTGTATTCTCTCTGATAATGATATGGAGGTTAAGGATAGGAGCTGCAATAAAGCTGAAAAGATACTTTACACGACCTGCGGGTACCGACAATGTAGCGGAAACTTCAGATCTGATGACGTCACACTCCCATCACCTGAAAATGACATGGCAGTAGCCTCAAATAACGACCTCTGTACGAAGATAGGATCTGAGACCCTGGAGAAGGGGGGCAGTGCAGTGGACGCTTCCATCTCAATCCTTCTTTGTCTGGGAGCAGTCCAGCCTCAGTCTAATGGTATCGGGGGAGGGGGCTTTATGGTCGTCCACACTAAGGAACATGACAACGTTATCAACTTCCGGGAAATGGCACCTAAAGCGTCCACCCAAGAAATGTTCGTGGAAGACAGCTCCTTGTCTGTAAACGGAGGGCTAGCAAGTGGGGTTCCCGGATCAGTGGCTGGATATTGGAAAGCTCATAGACTTTTTGGAAAACTAAACTGGGCTGACCTGTTTGCTCCAACTGTAGCTCTGCTGAACGAAGGTTTTCCAGTTTCAAAGCACATGGAATATGCACTCTCCCGTACGAAACAGTATCTGATAAAAGATTTGAATGCAAGGAAAATATTCTTCAAAAATCCTGAAGATCAAGAAAGCTATTTGAGGGAAGGTGAGATGTTCCGGAATGATAAACTAGCTGAAACTCTCCAACACATCGGTGACCATGGTCCCCAGGCTTTTTATAGAGGACAAATCGCAAAGAACATTGTTAGGGCCACGGTAAGTGTAACATATGATTCTTAATGTATACAATCCAGTCTTTTATATTCTGCAATTCAAATAGGAGATTCGTGCAATGACCAGTTATTATTATTAAATATTTTTTGAATGGCTAATTAAATCATTTTCAGAAAGCAACAGGAGGAATAATGACCATGTGGGATTTATCACGATACCGTGCTCTGGTTCAAGAACCTCTCCAATTTGAGTACAGATCTAAAAGGTTCTTAGCTGTGCCACCTCCTGCCTCGGGCCATGTCCTTTCCATCGTGTTTCAGCTTCTGGACAATTTTGACCTCAGTTCCCAGGATGCTCAAGCATGGAGCGAGATTCTGGAAGCTATTAGATTCGGGTTCGCAATTAGGGGCCAAACCGGTGACCCGGAATTTTCCGAGAAATCAAAATGGTTGGTGGAAAAAGTTCAGAACGGAACCTGGTCTAAGGAGATCCTGAAAAAGTACGTGAAAAAGAACAAAAACCAGTTCAGAGGGCCCTACGACAATGTGGATGAGTACATGCAATCTGGACCTCTTTACGAAAACTTTGACGGAACCCACACTGCGCATGTTTCCGTGCTTGGACCTGACGGAAGTGCTGTATCCTGCACCTCCACTGTCAACCTGTGGTTTGGGTCTCGAGTCATGACTGATGACGGCTTCATAATGAACAACCAGATGGACGATTTCTCGACCCCTGGAGCCGTCAACACGTTTGGGTTCCCATCTGCTCCTGAAAACTTCATTGTCCCTGGGAAACGGCCTATGTCGTCGACTGCCGCCTCAATCATCGTAGACGAGGAAGGTAGAGCCCGTTTTGCTACTGGAGCCGTGGGTGGGTCTAGAATCATAACAAGTACCATTCAGTCCATCATAAATGTTCTGGATTGGGGAATGACTCTGGAAGAAAGTCTTAATGCTAAAAGGCTTCACGACCAACTTACAACAGAAACAAGGTACGAACCAGGATTTGACGAAAAGTTGCTAAAGGAGCTAAGGGAGATGGGATATAACATGGTAGAGAAGAGAGGAATTATGTCCGCCGTATGCAGCGTGTCTAGTTTGAATGAGGAAACTGAAGCCCGTGGTGATCCAAGAAAACAGGGATCCGGACGTGTCATTAGGATGTAACTGTAAGTATTGATCAATACTTTTTGGACTCAATACTTCAATACTCAATGTAGTAGTGAGTCCAAAAACATTATAAATTATAACATGTTTGAATTGTTTATAATAATAGTCGGTTTATAGTAGATCAGAGAAATTGTTTAATGTTTAACTGTACGACTTGCAGTTGGTCTAACCAGAGCCCTCACCACACACGCTTGCGGTACTTTTAGTGTAACTATAAGCACGTGGTTACTGGTTATATTATAGTTGGTTATATTATAGGTGAACTGTATTATATGACATTCAGACATTGATTGCTAACTAACATTTTCCTCTCATGTCTCAACATTTAGAAATTTAGCTTAATTAATTTTTCTTCACATATATTTTTATTGTCGATGTCATTATTTATATTATGAATACTTTGTCATTTTTAAATCATATCATTTCATTTACAATGATGAGGTTTTAATTTGACGGACTCAATATCAAATATTTATAAGTAAAATGTAAAACCATGACGATCGGTTCAAAATAAATAATGTTATTAAACATTAAACTAAAAATTACATATAAATGTCAAAGTGATTCAAATCAGAAACTTGATCGACAAAATGCCGATTCTGACGGCCCTTAACTATACCGTAGCTCGACGCAATAGCTTGACGCAATATAACGTATAAGCATAAAAATACCCAGCAGTTAGCAGCAGTTTCTTTGCACTTTAGACTTAGTCTCCCTAGCTGTGTGGGCGCGATTGCAGTTTTTTGCACTTCGTTCCTCCTAGCTGTGTAGGGGGTGCACGATAAAAATAAACTTGCTATGCACAGGAGGACTATAGTGCAAAGAAACTGCTGCTATAACTGCTGCTCACTGCTGCTCACTACTGGTCACTGCTGCTCACTACTGCTCACTGCTGCTGTCGCGCGCACTGCTGTGGTGCTAAAATTATCTACTAATATGAAGATGTCTTATCAAAAACACGTTGCAGCTTGAAGAAATTTAATTATACACATGCCTGGATCCTGTTTCAGATCAACACATACAGCTTGTCATGTGATGGAATATGAGCTGACTGGGGTGATAAACCTACACACGTCTTTATGACCTGAGCAAGCTGATAAATTGTGAGTTGTGGGATGGTAGTGGAATTTCAAAGTCACGCCATGGGGAGATTATGTGCTGATAGTCAAGTTACCACATCATGCCATGGTGATAAAATTATCAACAATTATGAAGGTGTCTTATCAAAAACTCGTTGCAGCTTGCAGCCTGCATACTTGAGAAATAATTGAATTGAATAACCTTTTGCAAAAGTAGACTCATATTACAATGGTAATCTAATTGATTGATGTATATGGGGGACAGCAAGTAACTTCGTAGTTTCACATTGCCTTGTTTCTTTGCTTCAGTAGAAATTTAAAAAAATGAACTCTAAGCTTTTCTGTTGTTTAAACCAGCTTATAATTGCAAATAATTACCTATTAAAGACCCCTCCAAAGATTTATCTCCATTCTGGAGATGGACCTGTAACTCTTGAGTCTGTCGAGCACTGCATCCAACATGTAGGAATATTTCCCAGTGGGCGCATTAAAGGATTACACCAGAGGAACGTGAATGGGGATCATTGCAAATGTCAACTAGTCGGACAGAGATCATCTTCATCACTTTCTGAATTATCATTCATAACCAGTAGTTAGCACATCGTTGATTTTTGCTTTCAAATGATAACTGCTACTCTTATCGATTTTATTGTTTAACTCGACGGCTTCTTCTCAAGAGCGAAGGAATGGTCATCACTTCATAACATGCTTCTCACGATGCTCTTGATCTAGGAAGAATGCACTTTTGCTGTGGTGTGTCACACTCCATATGAGTAAATCTCAAGGTGATGTTGATCTAGGAAGAATGCACTTTTACTACTTTACTATGCTGTGTCACACTCCACATGGACAAATCTCGAGGTGCTCTTGATCTAGGAAGAATGCACTTTTGTTGCGGAGTGTCATACTCCATATAAATTTTTCATTTTGCTTACACTTTCTTAATTTTGTATCTTAACATTTATCAACCAATTAGAAACATGGACAATTGTGGACTCACAATAAGATGTGGAGGGGATCGTTTCCCTGTGAGAGTGGGAGGAGAGATGGTACATACATGTTATTGCGAGTGGGTGCTCCTCCTCAACCCCGAGGAGCATAGTCTCCTGTACAGAGAGATTGCTGTAAGTTTAAACACAGAAAAAACTTAACCTCTGTTCTACTTAAAGTTAACCTTTCAGAGAGCGCAGATAATCTGCGGCAACAAGAAAGAGACTCTATAACTTCTTTATTTATTTTTATGAATGTCATTTTATTTTATTTTATTCCAACACACAGTCCTCATAACAGAGCTGCTCCTCCCCCTCACAGTGAGGTTAGTATTCTGTACAGCTATTCAGCTAACAGTGGTGTGACATTATTCAAGTTTTAAAGAACATGTTGTTTTATTACTTCTTCTATCTGAGGACTTGCATAGGTTCCTAACAATAGTTTTATCTTAACACCATCTGTTTTTATATTTCAGGAGGAGATTGTGCAGTTAATAAGTGGGGATATTCACCCGATCAGTGCTCACTGTGTGAACATCACTGCGGATCTCGATACTGCTGAGAGTGTAAATGTGAGTTTTATATTTATCAGGTTTGTTTTTCTTCATATCAGAGCTTTCATTAGACATCCTTTCCACTTTCTATGGACTGATATTTTTGCATTGTTTGATTATATTTTTAATATGATATCTTAGTCATACTTTTTTTCATTCATCTTCATAGGAAAAAGCGTTAAAAGAAGTTAACAAAAGGCTACGCGAGGTAGAGGTATTGCAACGTGAGGCAGAGGAAAGGAGACGTGATGCAGAGGAAAGGAGACGTGAGGCAGATGTAGGGAAACGTAAGGCAGAGGAGGAGTGCGAGAGACTGAATGACAGAGCCATTCGGATTAAAAGAAGACTTATGGAATACATTGATCTTTAACGTGAGATTGACTTGTATCACGTTGCGACCCCCACGGTCGTTTCACTATGGTGACGATACAGGGGGACGATACAGGGGGACGATACAGGGGGAGCCGCGCACTTCGTGCGCGGCGGGTCATACAACGTATGACAAAGATTGATTATGATTGGTGAACGTGTTTATAGGAAAAAGCCTTAAAAGAAGTTAACGAAAGACTACGTCAACGTGAGGTAGAGGAAAGGAAACGTAAGGCAGAGGAAAGGAAACGTAAGGCAGAGGAGGAATGCGAGAGACTGAATGACAGAGCCAATCGGATTAAAAAGACTTAACTGAATACTGGGATTCCTTGAAGAGGTCTTATTCTAATTGGAACCATCTAGGGGAATTAAATTAAATTATTGGATGCCAGGAACTATAATTAAATATACTGGAATTGATTGACATTAAGAACTGAATACTGGGATTCCCTGGATAGGTCTTATTCTAATTGGAACCATCTAGGGGAATTAAATTAAATTATTGGATACCAGGAACTAAAATTAAATATATTGGAATTGATTGACATCAAGAATTGAATACTGGGATTCCTTGAAGTTGAAGAGGTCTTATTCTAATTGGAACCATTTAGGGGAATTAAATTAAATTATTGGATGCCAGGAACTAGAATTAAATATACTGGAATTGATTGAATCAAGAACTGAATACTGGGATTCCTTTAAGAGATCTTATTCTTTTTTTGATTGAATACGCCCAATGGGCGCTGGTCTGTACCGAAATATAAAAAACATACAATATAAAATTATAGAGAAACATAGAGAATAAAATTCTAGCAAGCCTCCGAAAACTATTTAGCCTTGTGTGTCGACGTAACTAGAAAATAGCATAAAAATATGAGTTGCAGTTCAGGTTCTGTTACTTTAACATTTACCAGTCTCAGCACTGAAAAAAACACACTAACAACTAAATAAGCTTTCAACGCGGTTCATTTATTAATTGTAAAAAGTGGTAAATCTACACACGGCAACTCCAGTCAGCACCAAATAACACTCAACATACATCATACATTAACTCTTATCAGGAGCTTTGGGACGTTTGAGATGATAAGGTTTTATCAGCCGTGCAGATCTTTCTGTCGCGTATGAAATAATGTTTATTTGAGTCTTTCTGGATCATCTGTTTCATCTCCTTAACAAGTTTACTATGCGCAAGCTGTTCCTCTTTGGTTCTGTCCGGTCCCAAATAAACATGTTTGAAAGAGTCACTGTCTCTGAGGTTTCGTGCACGCATCAAAATCAAGTCTACCTCACTGGCACAACCAAATTCGACCTTGATAGGCCTATTCTTACCCGGTTCCTTCCTTCCGATTCTGTAGACCTCACCAGTGCGGAGCACGGGGAAAGCGTCAGTTCCGTAAAGTATGTCCTTGACAACTTTGTTGAGCTCAAAATCGGCTTCTTTATCACTTTCATGGCAACCGTAGATCATCAAGTACTTCGATCGTTTCTTCTCTTCATTTACAGTCCTGACGGCTTGTTTGATAGAGTTTTCTGTTAAAGGTTTCCCGCTAGGACGCTGAGCAGTGTTTTTCTTGACAACATCCGTCCAACTTTTCATTTCTGATTTAACTGTCTCCTGAACTGAATTCATCTGTCCTTGTTGAGTTTCAATAATTAGTTTCTGATCCGCTATTTTCTCCGATTTCATGACATCAATTTTCCCAGCAGCACTTTTACAAAGTTTAATATTCTTCTCCGCCAATTTCATTAAGCTGCCGATGATTTTGACGAGTGGATTTTTGTTAAGTTTCATTAAAGCGGTCTCAGTAAAGTCAGATCTACATGAAACATTGGCAACCTTGAATATTTTCTGAATTTCTGATGTCATCTCATGGTCCATCGCGTTGAGCCGGTCCACTGAAAAATCCATGCTACACAGTCGGCGCTGTTGAAAGTCGACGTGGCGAGTAACACTTTCACTGATAACGATCACTGATAAGCGAGCTAAAAAACAGTGCAAATACAAATTGGTTTACTGCGAACTAATTGGAACCTGTGTACCATTGTTTTCTAGAGACTGTGAGAATTTTCACAGTACCAAATTTGTTATACCTTTTTGGAAAAATCGGTGAGTTTTGCTTTGTCATACGTTGTATGACCCGCCGCGCATGAAGTGCGCAGCTTCCCCTGTATCGTCGAAGTGAAGCGACCATGGGGGTCACCACGTGATACAAGTTCTGCTTAGGTGCCATATTTGCAACCGTGCGCGGCTTTTGGAGCAAAAGTAGGTGTCTGAGTAGTAAAACCAAAAATCGCGTAATTTGACGAAATTTGTTAATTTTTCTTGTATTATTCTGTCATATTTTCAATCTTCAGTTCCTTGAATGAAATCATTTTGAAAATTGGTGAAGACCTTTTTGATTCATGATGTCAATCCTTCGCATCTCGCCACATTTCGCCATTTGTGGTTACTGGGCCGCGCTCAGCCTGTCATTCCGCCTAATCTTTATGTTTATGAACATGATAGCCTGAGGTCCCCAAGTAACATTGCATTTGTGGTTGCGAGAAATATTATTGGATGCGCGCGCGGCCCAGCAGTGCATCGCGCTACAAAAAACTTTCCGATAGGTGATAGGGCTTTCACAACTGTCCGAAAAATTTAGTGGGTATCGGAGTTGATATAGTGATGAAAATGGGGCAAAATACGGTGCTTTTAGCTGTAACTTTTAGCGCGATGCGTTACTGTGCCACGCCGCGCACTCAATGAGGCTTCTTACAGCTTCTCCTCACTAGATCGGCAAAATGCGCTACTGTGCCGCGCAGAGCTGCGATGAATTGACATCGTCAATTAATCACAAGGGCAGAAATGAAGTTGTATCATTTCAGATCACTCAGATATAACCTAACAACATCAACATACATTAACTTAAAAAAGCAGAGGCTATATTTCACTTATATATATTATATTATTAATATATACTACTAATATTATATATTAGACCCAACTCACTCAGAACTCAGCACTGTGCACAAAGACGTTGAAACAGAGCTTCTCTCCCTACCAAAAACACTCATATTACCAAAAAGGAATCAATGAAACAGGAAATTTAATTTTAGCACATTTTTACAGAATAAAAAGATGTAAAACAATTCATAAAATATAATGCCCATTTGGTGTATGACTTTTTGTCCTTGACTGTGCATGCTAGTTTGGTTTAAGAAAGACAGGTAACTAACAGGGCAAGTAATGCGCGTGCCTGGAAGCTTTTGCACACACCGAAACGCTAGTTCAGTTAAGTTTATAGAGACAAGGCTCAGATTAGGACTAGAAGAAACATTTTTAGCAGACATTAGGGGTTCGATTTATAATTGTTACTATTAACTATAGGTTGCAGTCTTGTTGTGACAAAAAGTCTACACTAAAACATGCTTTAGTTTATATTGTGTAGTTCAAGGATATAAAATGCAGCTTCAAGGTGGATAGCTGGCGAAAGATTTTGGCCTTTGTATCACTGGTCATTCAAAGATGTAAGGGTAATTTACCCTTAAGTCTGGCCAACAGTGACAAGAGTATCCCACAGATGTATCAGGTACCTAGCACACAAGAAGAACAAAAAACACAAATACATAATGGAAGACTCCTGAATGTCGAAAAAGCTACCTTCACCCCACGTGTTTCAAGTACGACGGGAGGAATGGCTTTGGAGGCATCTAAATTCTTAAAGCATATAATAGCTGAGAAGACCAGCCTTAAAAATGGTCAAGGGTACTGTGATGTGTGTCCTTAAATGTCAGAGCCGAACTGCAATTTGATTTGCTGAAAACGTGTATTATTATATATCCAGCAGTGGGCTATATTTTGTCTTCTGACCTCTCGCAGCCCGATGTTACAAGACACAGTGCGCGTCCAGCCCGCTTAAAATACAGCACGCGAGCAGACAACATTTAACGTGACAAGTAACAATACAGCCTGGAGCACTTTCACTTTCAAACAAATTTTTGGGGCCTAAACTATTAAACTTTAAAGTTTAACTATTACAAGACACGTATACCATATTTATGTCACTGACACTACATCTTAATGGTTCCCACGGCTCAAGGAATGCACCATATCACTTATCGGCCTCAGTCCCTATACCACTCAGTGCAATATGATTGGCTGACATTGAACACGTGACGTGTTACCATGGTTGCAACAATTAGTGGCGACTTTAAGTCTAGAGTTGATGTTTATACAGTATACACCATACACGCTCCATTGTTTATTTCAACTGATTTCCATTTCCATAATTACTCAAGCTATTTCAAGTAATAATTCTTGAAATTTTAAGCCGGAATTTTACCTGTAATTCTATTGTGTTCCCGAAAGAAATTTTGCCATGTTTTTTGTTTTGAAACTATACCGTTTACCACTAATATTGATGTTATGAATTTGATCTTTTACTCAACGTAAAATATATATAATATATATATTCAATGTCCCTTCGTGCTTCGTTATCTTGAGCTCTCTTGGTAACTGCAGATGGCATTCAGTTTATAGTTACACAGTTGTTAAAGTTATGGCGAGCACTCTTTTTAATAGTTTAAGCTGAATTTATTGTTTGACCTGCCCTACACACTGTGTATTGATTAACTCTCGATGTACATCTGATGTGTTGTCATGGTAACAGGAATTCTGTGTTACTCGTAGTATGGATTGATTGAGATACACAATTTTTAATCTATGTTAATGATTAACATCCCGTTGCCTGTTCATCAATATAGTTGGTGTGTAATACTATTATAGTACAATGGATTTCAATTCTTCTATTGTGTGTGTTATATAATCAGTAATGTTGCCCTGTTCTGCATCTTACACCATGATTTTCTATTAAATTTGCAGCTTTAGTTCGAAATCTTTTACTTCTATTTGCTATGATTGTTGAAAACTGTAAAGCGCCCGCTCATGGATATACACGATATCATTCCTCGCCATGAGGGCGGAACTATCGTATAGCACTCGGGCCCGTTGGGCCCTCCGTGCTATACGAAAATATCTCCGCCTCGGGGTGGCGCCCTCGTGGAGATATAAAATATTGCACGCGCACGCGCATGCAATATTTAGTACTGCCCTCAAGGCTGCGGTGATATCTATATGTATTATATATTCATCAGTGGTTACTGCAATTTGTGATCTGGACTTGGACCTGAACCAGATAAACACTCTAGAATGCTCAGGGGGTGTTCATCAGGTACCGTAAAGGTCTGGACTGCTGAAAAGTGTCCAGTTACTTTGTGCAATCTCTATTTTCAATGGCCTTAAATATTAAATGACCAGTATTTGTATATTTTGAAGAATTTATCCAGAGATTTATACATTTATACCAAGATTTTTTTAGCTTTATACCAAGATTTCTAGAGCTTCTTTAATTTCATATTAAATTTTTATACCAGATAATTACTGTACTGTATATTATATTGAGTTGAATAATGTTTTTGTTTTAATTTATTAATTGGATTCTAATTTTGAGGGTGTCTAACCTTTCAGCCAGACAGTAGCCATTGCTGCATTTATCTGTGTAATTGTTTGAATCAAATCTTCTCAAATAAATTGAATAGAACGGCAAAAAAGTTTAATTTTGAAAATTTGAATAGAATGTGAAACCCCCTTGGCCTTTGTAATAAATGCAGCCCATTGAAAATCTAATGTATAGGCTCTTAACCCAGTGGCAAATAGTCAGGCGTCCAGGAATTTAACACCTAGTCAAACTTTGTTGATAACCGGTAAAAAAAGATTCTTGTGGAAAAAATATTCGCATTAATTTAAAATTAAATCAAAATTGGTCGCTCTCAGGGCTAACGCGATGTTACATCATTTTATCGACTCGAAGTTCGAATCGAGCGCATTCCTAGATTCCATGACTATTTCTTACCTATAAGATTGCTTGACTATTTTTTGCGCATTCAGACACCAAAAAACGCGCAGAAAACGCGAGCTATCCATTCCTCCTTCCTCAACATCCCGGAATATGAAAAAATAGTCATGTAAAATAGTCATTTGAAATAGTCATGCAAAATTTCAGCTCTGATACGCTAAAATATCAAGTTAATCTTAAACAATCGACAATCTAATATGAATCCTCCCAATCCTCCCAGCCATATTAACTGGTGAACGGTGTAAATATAGAGCGGTATTTTAAAATGTAGCATTCAAAATTTTATGGATTCAAGTTGGCTCCTTTAGTCTAGATTCATTTAGAAAATTCTCGAAGTTCGAGTAATACAGTATTCTCAGGGTTTGGCGCTTAAGGAAGCTTCACATCCGAGACCGATTTCCACGAATCAATTTAATATTGTAGCTACAAGTCAACAACAGTGCAAGTGGGAAGGAAGTGAATCTAGCCATTGCTACTATATCAGGGGAACTCGTGTGTTCTAGGCTTAAGCAAGTTTCACATCCTAGATCATCTAGAGTACAGTGCAGACAACCCCCTCCATTATACATCCCTATCCCGCTTTAAGTCCGAAGTTTATCATTGTTTATTGTCCAATATTGTTTCTAACCTGGCAGAAGCAAGCTTCAGATCCAAAGTCAGGCCATAAATATCGACACAAGGTCGAAGCCACTTTCAAAGTAGCGAATCGTTCATCATGTTGATGAGAGTCAGATCTTAGAACTCGATCTTCCGAGTTAGTATGAAGAATAATAAAGAAATGTCTGTGGGCTAGGCTGTATACTTCTTTTAAAAAAATTACCTTGCGTTTCAAATAAATTAAAGAATTCTCAGAAATTTTTTATTTAATTTCAAAATTTGCAATTGCATATTCATCCGGTAATTATTCTAATAGATACGCTAAGCATTTCAAACTAATCTTGACCTGGGAGAAGAGCTGACCAGTGACAAGTCGGCCGCAAAGCGGCCGAAAAATATATAGCCTTTTTTTCTTCCCAAAATGGATTCCTAGTCATATTTAAAATTTATTCCACTGGGGCTCTTAAGTCTAAGTCTATCTAAATCTGCTATTTTCACAGAAATACTACTTTTCAATCCTCTTTCCCTTCTAAGAGCAATGACTGTTGTTCTCAATAGGTCAAATCTCACTCTTTTCCTGATAGAATTCGTGTAAGATCACTGTTCTAATGTTTAGGGTACAGCCTGATTATATAAATGGGATCACCAAATAATTTATAATTTTACTTTATTCTCACTTCCTAGGCTTTATGGAACCTCCTGAGAAAGTAGTTGCCTTTCTACATATTGTGAGAGAAACTATTCACACAATTCAAGAAAGTGGGTTTTTAGATGAACATCTTGATCTTTGGTCTAGTGCAATTAATCGAAATGTAAGTTTGCTATATATCTTCTCGTACACAATTTAACTGGTCATTTTAGAAAAACTCTTCCTTTTCAAAGTACCAAGGAATACATCATTTATAATTCAAATGTCTACTTTAAATTATTTAAAGTAACCTGGTATGACAGTTAAAACTGATTTTAAAATTGCTCCAGGATAAGATGAAAAGTTTATTGGCTGATGTTGAAGACTTGTCAGCCATGTACAAAACTGACAACTTGAAGTTGGAGAATCCACTGTCTGAACCCGAACTTAACGGTGAAATCAGATACATGCTGACAAAGCGGTAAGTATAAAGTGAGTTTAAAGACGATGTTGTGTTGAATCAGGCACAAAATGATTCCTAATATACCATCATTAAATAATAATGTACCTACTAGTACTGCATGCATAATGCATGTATGTGCTGTGTGTAGGTTTTGTATTTTAAATGTCAAAACCTTCCACCTTATGCTTCTGCTCCAACCCAGCCTTCGCCCTAACCCCTTCATCCAAATTGGTTATACTAACTCGTTACCGTAACCTTTCTCAAAGATGCCAACTGTCAGTTAAATATTCTGTATGGCGCACATTAAAGATCAATCAGATATGCATTAGATAAGTTTGTCAGAGAACACCATGTATTAAACTGAAATGCAGCATGTCCTGCCATAACCGTGGTGTTTTTATTTAGAGGGGTACTGTATGACTGTAGTTGAATTTGGGGTGACGCTGTCTTTATGGTCATGCACACTGCAGAGCAGTTCCCTAACTTTCTCTCCCATTTAATATTGGGTAACTGCTTGGTAACATAGCCACTGTGATAGTAATATGGGTGTCTTAAAAGCAACCTATACGTTTGAACATTGTATTTTTTACTCAACTTAACTTAATCATATCCAAGAGATCGTGAATTACATAGGTACCCACTATAGTGCAATGCCCTTGCTCGAAAGATCTCTGAAAATATTATACTTTCAGGATACACGTACTGAGCCAATCCGATTCAATTTTGAGAAGAACATACAAAGACTCCCTTGCACTACTTCAGAACTCGCACCCAGTTTTGAATTTACAAGATAGTATAAATGAGCTGACCTCGTTGGAAGATGCTGAAGATATAAAAGTACTGAAGGATAAAAAAGACAGTGATAATGTTAATGATATGCAACACCTCACCATCTCAGATGATAAGCAGCAGCCTAGTGTAAATGGCGAAAATCATTTAAAACTTAATCCTTCAAACATATTACATTGTTCTCCTTCAAAAACTGACCCATCTAAATCTGAAGATTATTTAGACCTGGATAACTTTCATCGTAGCAAGACCAGCTCATCTAGGAAATCAAAACGACATCGTCATGATGAATACTATCATGACAAATATTACCCTGAAAAGCATGCACGCCATCATGACAAATATCATCATGATCAAAAATACAGTAATGAAAAACATCGTCGAAGAAGTCGGTCGTCAAGACACAAAGAATCAAGGAGCAGCAGAAGAGGAAGATCTCGTTCTCGTTCTCCATCCAAAAGGAGAAGCTACGAAAGAGAAACATCCAAACATAGATCAGGAAAGGTAAAGAAGAAGCAAGATAACTATCTCAGACAAGTCAGTTCGGAGTACCATTCTAAATATGACGACCTTTACAAATCCTATCAAAATGTAGTGGATGATGTTTCAAACAAGGAAAGAGATGAGTTTTACAAAACTAAAGCTAATTAAACAATTCCATTTCAAAAACTTACCTTGGTACAAAAAATTAAAAGATCAGAAAATTAAGAAACCCCCCTCTCACAGTTTCTTAATTTGATGAGCTTACTAATTATATGTATATTAATTAATTGATTTATTAATTTTCTGTACTAAGGTATTCTGCGTAAAGGAAATCAGGGACAAACATCCATACCCAATGAATTGTCATGAATTTCTCAGTTAAAACCATGATTTTCCTAAAAGAGATTAAACGTAGAAGTTATAACTCTTACACAGGATTTTAAATTAAATCTGAACTGTAGTGATTTTATTTCGTTAGCTAAGGTAAGTTAACATGATACAATTTTTAATTGTTTGGTTATCATCAAACTTTTGGTGTTTTTTATTATAATTTTGTTTTCTATGAATTAAAACAAACATTTTTTAATCAATTTTGTATCGATTAGTCACCAAATGTGTATTTGATTTATAGTCTTTTCACTTTGGACTTGGATATGATTTTATCCATATTCAGCCAAATTACTGCATTAGATTAAATCAGTTGAACTAAGCATTATTTATATCAAGTTGATCTAGGAATGAAAATACAGTTTGGGAAAAGGGAATGACTGCACAAAACCGGGGGCGGTATTTAAAATCAAGGTTTTACCGTGAACTTCATTTCATCTTTTAATAGTATTCAATTGTTATCTTCAAAGCAAGATAATATTTTTAATAATTATGTTATTGGTTGCATCGAATTTATCTGCAATGCTTATTGGGCTTATTGATTTTTGTTTTCAGAAAGTTGCTTAAAGATCAAAGCTCATACAGTGTCTGGTTTTACCCAAAATTGATGCTGTTTTTTATTTATGTTTCGACCAATCAAATAGTAAATTTTATACAATGTTTTACTGTCGTTTGCAGATCAAATATCATCAATTTTGCTCTTCAAATTGAGAAATGATACGCAAGACTACATCCTATTCAATAACATTAACAGTGTAAGGCTACAGTCTACATAAAACATTGTTTTACTTGTCTGGAAATTTACATTTTGCATTTTTGCAAAATGTAAAATTAACAGTAATCATTACAATATTATGGTACATACAAAGACTGAAGTAAAGTTGTAATGAGTAATATTATCTAAGTTATTGATTGTTCATAGTATTGATGTCATGGATACAGAAAACCTGGAAGACTTTGCGAACAAAGTTGTTAATTTCTTGAAAACGAATGGAAAGTTTGACGAATTCAGAAAGAAATGTGCAAGTGAAATAGAACAACATGTAAGTTGATAATAAATGGTTTCTTGGGTTTTTTAATAATTTCTTTAAGTATGGTTCCTATCATACCGGGGGGGATCATACACTTAGTACCGGACATGACGTTGGTGGGTGGGTCATTTTTTCTTCTAACAACACAGTTAGTACATGGTACTAACTGGTGGGTCTACTGCCCATTGTCCAGAAAAACAGTTAGTACATGGTACTAAAGGGGGTGTCTAACCCCAAAAAAACCCATTTTACCTCAAATTTCAATTTTGGGAATGGGTTTTGAGGTTTTTTTAAGTTTTTTTTTGGGTTTTTTTTTTTATTTTTTAAATTTTTAAAAGTCTTCCTTTAAGTTTAAATGAGCTCTTTAAAAAAAAGCAATTTCTGGGTGGGTATCTTATTATATACCAAAAAACAGTTATTTTTCGACAGTTAGTACCGCAAAAGGCGGCAAAAGGGGTGGGTGTCTTACGTATTATCCAAAAAAAACAGTTAGTACCGCAAAGGGGGTGGGTGGGTCTAGTGAAAAATATCCAAAACTACACTTAGTCGACGTGATGTCCGGCACTTGGTACCTGATCCCCCCCCCCCCCCCCCCCCGATCATACTGGAAAATGTTGAAATGTTCCTTATATTAATTGAAATATTATTTAATAGTATATCATATTATATAATTGAGCATTAATTATTCAGTAACTGTATGACTAACGTTAACCATGAATATCAATTATTAAGATCTGAAGATTTGGTGTTCCAGGTATCGTTTGTAAAAGCAAGGAAAGAGGTGGAAGAGTTGGTTAGACTGCGAGTTGTGAACAACAGAAAGGCATCATGCCCTCTAACCAAGAACCAACTTCGGCTTGAGATAAGGACGCTCCTCTCAAAGAGGTTCTTGTTTAATTAATTTTCTTGTTTAATTAATTTTCTTGTTTAATTAAGATTCTTGTTCTATAGTTGTTTTATTTTTTCAAACTTTGTTACAAAAGATGTTCAAACTTTTCGTTAAATTAGAAAATTCCGTGTTACTGATCCAATGAATGTGAGGTTACTTTAGTTGTTCATTCAGATCATTTGATTAAATCTTTTATTTGTAACCCTCAAAAATTTTCAGAAAAGATTTGCTGGCCGCTGCTGACTCGTCCATCCAGTTCAGTCTCCGAAATAACAAGGAGTTATTCGCTACAGAAATAAACGACGTCACTGGCCAGTTTGAAGAGGAAGAAAAAGCTGAGGCAGAAGCTAAGAAACTAGAACAAGCAGAGAATCCAGTACAGGAAGGTCAGGAAGTAGATAATGCTCCTGTCACTGAAGCAACAGAATATCCCTCGACAGCGGACATACCGCCACCTCCTCCCCCTCCACCTCCACCAGCCCCTGTAGCAGCGAGTACCAGACCCACTGCAGGACCACTCCCCACCATCTCTGGAACTGACACTGCCCTCCTGATCCAAGAGTCTGTGTTCCACAATGATGTGCTGAGCGGACCTTCTCACAACAACGCTGCCTCTCACTCCATGAACATAACTGATCTGTTAGCTAATGTGCAGTCCTCAGATTTCGCAGCTCAACAGGTCAGTCCTCAGCCGATGGAAAAGGAGCCTACTCCGAGCTATCCTACTTATCATGACACTGACTCTGCGAGAGAAATGTCACATTCCCCAAAACATCCTCCTGCAGAAACTATTGTTATCATGTCAAAACAGGATGTGGCTAAAGAGATTTACAACTTCGAGAAAGAGGAGAAACAGTTCAGCCACTACATCAAGGAAGAGGATGACTATGAGAAAAGCAAGTACACAGAGGAAGCAACTCGGGAGTACAAGTATCCTGGGGATCACTCCAGGTTAGAATATCCACCAGACTACAAGAGGTCTAGTGGGGGATCTAGCTCTTACAAGTCCAGTTCTAGAAAACATGGCGAGGAATATAGGGAGCGATCATCTAGTTCCAAACACAAGGAGAGAAGTCTGAGTCCAAGCAAGTATGCAGAGCGCTACAAGGAATACAGTGTACGGGACTATGGCCACAGCATGGACAGAATGTTCAAATCTCCTGAGTACTACCTTTCAATTTCCAGGTCCAGTACAAGTCGAAGCAGCTCCAAAGAGAGTTCTAGGGACAGGAGGAAACGAGAGGAGGAATGGTATCAGAAATATGGATACAGCTCCAAGTATGGTCATTTACCGTATGGGTCACATGCAACCGGGTCACACAAGTATCCAGATTCATCTCGACGGGAATATTACGACAAAGAGTATTACGATAAGAGAAGACACGACGATCCCCACTATAAGTCCTCAGATCGATCGAAGAGTCGAGATCATGCCTTGTATGAGGCTTCGAAAGGTCGTGAGTCAACTCATGATCCTTACAAAATGAGAGATGCCCTCTATGAAGCTTCAAAAGGTCGTGAGTCAACTCATGATCCATACAAAATGAGAGATGCTCTGTATGAAGCTTCAAAAGGTCGTGAGTCGATCCATGATCCCTACAAGATGAGAGATCCCGCTTATGAAATCTCAAAAATCAGGCAGTCCACTGGTTCAGACTCAACAAAGTTCAAGGAACCGCCCTACGTTCCTTCAAAATATCATGAGCACGAGCTCATGAAGACAAGAGATAGAGAACTGTTGTACAGAGACAGGATGAAAGAGGACGCGTACAGTTCGAGTGTGGACATAAGAGAGCGAAGATCACATTTAGATAGACCTTACGAGAGTTCGGACCGGTACAGTCCAGGGGATGTTAAACTCAAACCACCAAAGATGCCATCTCCTGTGAGATCCCCATTAGAAAATCCCCACCCACCCATGCCTGAGAAATGCCACACTCCTGAAAAATACCCAAGCCCTCCCATTGTTCCCTTACCAGATGAAGAGCCCTCCAGTTCGCGAAATCATCTTGACGATTTACTGGAAAGAGCTATTTCTAACATTCCAAGAACCCCTGAAGATCCGTCTCCCGCTTCATCTGACAGGGACGAGGCACCCTCAAAAGAAGAATCCACTGGTGTAGTGTCAGAAAATAATATGGATAATCAGGCCAGGTCACCAGTAAAGCTCTCTAGTCCCAGTAAGTCTCTTCCAAGATCACCATTGAAACCTATTGTTAGTGAAATTCAGGAGGACTTGACTGAGTTTGAAATGCAAGTAAGAGACACTATGGTGAATGATAGTAGCAGGCGAGCATTAATCGAATCAATATTACCAAAACCAAAATATTGTTCAATTCTTAGGGAAACTTTCGCTGTGGCTGATGAGGGATCAGCTGAAAAGAGTGACGAAGAAGCAAATGACTTCAAACGCAAAGCTTTTTATCATGTTGCCGATGTGAGGGAATCCGTTGATCCGCTTGTAGAACCTACTAGTCCCGAGGACATCGAGGATTTTAAACGTGGAGCCGATTTGAATACAGGCCGTGAATCTATCACTCCTGTTTCTTTCCATGAGAAAAATCAGTCAATTGAATTCCGGCCAACTGAGTCAGATGATAATGAACCTGAAGCTAAAGAAGAATCGCTGATCAGACATGATAATCAAGACTTCCCAGTTCCGTGTTCACCGCCTTTACCTCCTCCACCACCACCGGCACCTCCTTTTATGCAGAACAGTTCATCATTGCCTCCATCTTTACCTAAACTACCCTCCCTACCAATGCCACAATCTATGGCGATCCCTCCGTCATTACAACAATCCTCGCCAGTGTCTTTTGCGGCGACATCAACTCAACCTATTGCTCGAAGTCCTCAAAGTCCTCTTACCTTGCAACAGGCCATTGCTCATCAGACAACATTGGGTTCACCTCGGGGCCCCATTTCCCCTCCTTTAAAAGCACCCATCACTCCTCCTCTTCCTTCTCATCCTCCTCCTCACCCTACCCCTCCATCTCTAAATGGTGCTAGTGGTAAAATCAGTAATATTGTCGAGGACGTTAGAAAAGCGTCGCCCACTAAACCAATTGTTCTGTTTACCACACCTAAAAAAGACAAAATTAGTAAACCGCATGACTCTTCAGACGCAGAAGAAGGTGAGATATTATCTGATACTGATGAGCCTGTCGCGGCTCAGATTTCAACAGTGATGGAAGTTATCCAGGAGAAGGCCAAATCTCCAATGCCAGATCCTGCTGTAGCAGACACTGTTAACGATGACGAAATAATTAATGAAGAGAATGAAGCTTCAGATGTTCAACAAACTGATCCCCACCCCTTACCAGAGCCTATATCTAAAGAACTCACGCCACAGCCTCCAGAACCCAAAGCTTTTGTTCCCGACGAAAACTTCCCGATTCGAAGTAAACGGGATCTTTTTAAAGCAAGATTCTTTCAACCAGACATGAAGATTGATTTTGCCAAGCCAGACCAAGTAACCGAAGTATCAGATAGTAAACCTGATTCTTCTGCTGCCTCCGAGAAAGAAGACTCAGAGAAAACAACAGCTCCACCAGTAGTTGAAGCTGTGAAACCAAATCCAGATGATAACATGAGATTTTCTAGAAAGATGCGCTTCAAAGAAGTCCTACAACAGCACATCAGCGAACAAGAAAACGCAAAAGAGCAACAACTGAAGGAAAGTCAACAGAAAGATAATTTAAAAGAGGTTGCTGCCCCAGAATCTGGGTCTAGTTCCCAGCAATCAGCATCAACTGTTGAACCAGATGTTTCTGCTGTGTCTTTGATCGGTAAAAGAAAACGATTCTTGAATGATTATATCGCGTCTCTTGAATCAAACAACGCGTCTACTGAATCAAACCCTCCACCGGCAAAATCATCAAAAACAGAAGAATCCTCAGTGGAAGAAGGTCTGCCCAAACTGAGGATAAAACCGCTCAGCGGTGGATCATACATCTCCGAACCGCTAACAACTGCTGCATCAGCACCGCCTCCTCTTCACAAAGCTAGCACTTCTCCTGATAAAGAAATAGTCCCTAAATGTATCATCAAACTAGGTAAAACACATTGGAATGCGTGTGACTCTGAAAAACCAGAGAAAAGTGGCAAGAAAAAAGGGAGAGCTAGCACGCGAGCAAATCTTCGATCAAGAGAAGCATCGACAGATTCCAGTAAGTCAGAAATTTCAGATAAACCACGATCAACTCGATCGAAAAAGACAAGAAAAGCTGTCAAGACGTATAACGTTGATGATGATGAGAAACTTTCAGATAATTCATTTGAGGAGGTGGACAGTTCACGTCGCTCCGGGAGGACAAGGAAAACTATCAAGCGACTGAATTTGTAGTAGTTAGGAATTTGCATCATGACGACTAGGGTGTTGTCGTTTTTTTACCGACTATGATTTATTTGAAATTAGTCAGCCTGGCATGAAGAGTTTTTTTTTCAGATGGTGTAAAGGAACATTTAAATCTTGCAATGTATGGCATTACAGCCATTGCGGCATTCTCATTTTATTGCAGAAATTTGTATGTCAAATCAGATATCCCATGAAGAGTGGCTTTTGTTATTTAAACATATTTTCTTATTGATTTGCTATGCCAATCTGGGATTTTGATTCCTGAGAAAATTGCGTTCAGACGAACAACTGTTTGCATGGATTTTATGATTGATTTATGTTTGATATTGATATTATCAGGTCAGTTACTTGTCCCTTAAAATGTTTTTTGTAATAGGTATATTTCTCATAAATATTTCACGGCGGTGCTTTATTTTTTCCTCTAGTGCGATTTTAATAAAAAGCAAATTTATCAATAATTAGCAAATAAACCTATGCTATTCAGTCTTATTTGATGACGATGGTGAATGATTGGTGAATAATGCACACAAATCATTATCTTTAACTAATATCTTATTTAAGAAGGAATGAAGACCAAGTTGGAAGGATATGATTTTTACAGAGAAGTGCTTGGTTCGCCCCGCTATGTCGTGGCCCCTATGGTCGACATGAGTGAGCTAGCTTGGCGACAGTTGTCGCGTGAGAACGGCGCGCAACTTTGTTACACCCCCATGTTTCACTCACCACACTTTGCTGACAGCGCTACATACCGTAAGGACAACTTCCACACCACTCCCGAGGATAGACCTCTTATCGTTCAGTTCTGTGGAAACGACCCTCAGACTGTATTGAAAGCTGCAAAGTATGTCGAGGATCATTGTGATGCGGTGGATCTCAATCTGGGATGTCCCCAAGGTATTGCTAGACGCGGCCACTATGGTGCATTTCTGCAGGACGAGTGGGACCTGATATCAAGCATCGTATCTCTTCTCCACAAGGAGCTGTCCGTCCCAGTGACTTGCAAGATAAGAGTTTTCAAGGAAGTGGAGAGAACTATTGCGTATGCTAAAATGATGGAGAAGGCTGGTTGTCAATTACTGACCATTCATGGGAGGACGAGGGAGATGAAGGGACCGCACACTGGTATTGCTGATTGGGAACACATTAGAGCTGTTAGGCAGGCTATCAAGATTCCCATGTTTGCTAATGGTAATATCTTGTATTTTGAGGATATAGAGAGATGTATTGCAGCTACTGGAGTTGATGGTGTGATGACCGCTGAGACGAACCTCTACAACCCTGCTCTTTTTACTGGTTACTGCAGTTTTGATGTTTACAATCAAATGATACTTTTTACATCTTGATTCATTGAATTTATCTATATTGTATGTAGATTGTTTGTCTTGTTTGTCCAGTGATCAAATTGGTGGTTTATGTCTAAAATCAGATATAATCCAGGTAAAAACCCGCCAGTATGGGAGATGGTTGATAGATATTTGGAGATAGCTCAGAAACACGAGACTGGTTTTCAGCATGTCAAAGGTCACGTCTTCAAACTCTACAACATCTCATTCCAGGTTTTTTGTTCGATCTGAAGCCGACTTTAGATTCCAGTGTCCCTCAAATAGTTAAGTTTAAAGATCTTAATAATAATTATGTTGTTCAATTTCAGTTTTGTCGTTACAATAATTTTCCAATCGCAGATAAAGCATCATCTACGAGATCTAATGGCAAAGGTGCACAAGGTACAGGATGTAGTTGACGCTCAACAAATTATAAAGGCCGAACTTATAGCAGATTCTAAAAAGGAAATTCCGGATATTCAAGTTCAAAGGGTGGAAACTTGCGCGAATTTTAAGCACCTTCCTCATTGGGTTTGTCAGCCCTATTTTAGATCTACACGACTGGAAGCTCTTACTGGTGATGCGGTAAGTGTGTATTAATTTACCGGGTTTTATCTTTGGAGCGCTGCTACTTTTTACCTTTAATTCTTTTTTTACTTCTTTATTGTAGTCTAGAATATAATTGATTGTTAATCCTCCGCAGAAAGAAGTAGAGACAGATATGGAGGCGGTACTACAAGAAGAGAGGAAAGCACGCAAAGAACAGAAGAGACTTCGCAAAGCTGCTCTCTTCCAAAAAGCGTTGCTAAAGCCCGCCAAAAAGCGAAAGTTTGCAAGTTGCACGAGTTGCGAGCAGAATCCTGGGTCAGAAAAATGTGTTCACAAAATGTGTAAACGATGTTGCCTTTCTAAAACAGTTGAATTGATCGTGGATTGCGAGCACCATAATGTATGGGCTAAAGCCCGATATGAAAGGATGTATGGAACAAAAAGTAAGGACAAAACTGAGAAAGGGGATCCAATTGCAACTGTGTAATATTGTGTAGATCGAAACGTATGATTTATGCTATTGAAATAGGGGTATTTATTGAAAGTTCTAAATCGTGTATGTCTTCCTTGAGCAATACCTGTAAATACATGCTACTAATTCTGATAATTTGATCTATTTATAGGATTATGAGAGTACTATCCTTTCGAACTGTGTATTAACCGAATTCCCTTCCTCATTTTATGATTTAAACTTTATTTTTAACCGATAAACCATGTATTGTTTATTGTTGTATTGAAGTTGTAACATAATCCAAATTAAATGTTACTCTAGATAATGATAATATTGGTAATTGGTAGGGGACTACAGTATATTTCTGAATATTAACTTCACATCATGCTGTAAGAACAGGCCATTAGTTCTTTAGTAGTTGTTTACTGTTTACTGTGTTACTGTGATCTCTAGTATCATGAACAGATAATTCGTCTAATTTCTCACTCCCAAATACGACCAAATTATCAAGTATTTACAAGGTATGTCGTCTAATAAAGAAATTCGAGTCGGTGGAAAATCGTACCAACCTATAAAAGACACAGCAAAACGCTATGACAAGGATAAAGAGAAACCAGTGGTGACGACAAATCTTGTTGATAAACAGAGGAGAAAACTTGACAACCTCATGGCTAGAATTGATAAGCCTATAAACCTTCCTGAACGGGTTAGACTACATGATTATAACAATAAACTGGTTGTCCTTTTGAAGTTACTGTTAAGGTATCGGTGTTGGTAAATATAATTTTCGTGTGCCATTGACTTAAATTTTAAAGATTTTGATTTCAGCCGAAGGAGTGGAAGCCGTCAGATCCCAGAGAGTTCGTAAGGAATGTGATGGGAAGTAGTGCTGGTGCTGGAAGTGGAGAATTTCATGTATACAGGTAGTTACATGTATATTCATATGAGCTACACATCATAATTGTATGTATGTAGAAATGTATGATAAGTACTAAGTTGCGTTGATGCCAATCTTATTTACTGTGATCTAATTTGACACTACATACATATTGTGAGGCCCTATGTGAAACCCTATCTGCAGATAAGTTTTCAATAACTAACATCGTTTTATTCAGGGCCATAAGAAAAAGAACAATGCAACGAGAAGAGTTCCTTACAAAGAATAAAGAAGAATCAGACGTGCAAAAAGAATTCAATAAAAGGGTAGATGAAAATCGCGAAAAGGAGGATGCAAAGACAGCGAAGAAACGTCTTAAAAGGCAGAAGCAAAAAGCTAACAAGAAAAAACCAAAACAGGAAACTGTTGAGATTAGTGAAGAATCAGATTTAGAGGAAGAGACTGCTAATGAAAATGAGAGCCAACCTGTGAGGGATAGTAATAAAACTGATGAAATTAATCATGATTGTGATGAAAACAAAGAATCGTTGTCAGATGATATCGAAGATGGAACTAAAACGATTGAATCCGCAGTCAGTGTCAATGGTGATTCAAATAGTTAAGCTTTTACACATATCAAGACTTTGATTGTTGATTATTATAATAGACATTATGTACCTCGAGACTGTCATATTGGCCCAATCTTCACTCGCCAGTCTAACCGTGATATGTCATATCTTGGAACGCGCTTTGCGCAAAGTTTATAAAAAGCATGAATTTTCATCAGCTGAGAAGCACAATGACCGCGCGCGACCATTTGGCTGGTCGCACCGTACGACGCGCGATATACCTTGTATAACCCAGGTGGGCGAGATAATCAAATTTGTTGAAATATGTATCTTTATCTTGTATCATGACAGTCTAGTATAGTTATGTAACCTATTTAGTTTAATATCTTGCTTTGCTCCAACACTGTAGAATATAATAGGGCCATGCGACAAGCCTAATATAACTAATTTGTATCGCATTTTCCCATTTACCTCTCGTAATAAGGTTTTGTTATATAATACAAGCACTAAGCATATATAACATAATATATATATATATACTATATAGTATATAATATAATATGTATAATACAGCTGCCGGCATAGCAGCGATGTGTTACATGTTACTATGTTAGTGACAAAAATATGAACTACCTACCAAGTAATCTTACACTGCCATATTTGAGTATAAGAAGCGTGCCGTGAATTTCAAATCATAGGATTCACGTTCGAACATAATATACTTAATACTTTAATATTGTTGAGCATTTTGAAATATAGGGAGCGCAAGTCGTCAATTTGTACCATAGGAGATGATGCAAACTACAGATAGGACGCTTCCCTTTTCCTATCAGCTGTCGTCCTATTCTAGTTTTACTATAAAGTGTCACCATTGCTGTTACAACTACAAGTTTATATAAACGATAAATATTACAACTTTTTAAAAACCTGAGCCAATTAACTTCGTATTATTCTCAGCTAACACTAACAGCTAAGGGTTTGATCATTTACATAATCGGTATCCAGGGGACAGAAGTTGAGAAGAACTGATGATGGTATAATTCCTAAGCTATAGCCGTGTGTAAACTTGCTGATGTACGGCCACGGGGTTACAAGTTCACATATCATGACTTTTAAACGTAATGTGAGATATGTGAATGGTGCCTATACTATACTTATAGTATAACCTTGGTTCCGCCTACTATGAATATACAATCATCCTAAAGAATGAATTAACCATTTTAAATTTTCATCGAGAGACATTCACTAGCAACTAATTACTAAGGTATTATAAATATTTGTTTGGTAGTTGATAATAATAATATCGCCTCACGTTGTAGGCCCGCGATGAGGGTCACGACGTGAGACAATGATAATACATATAATATTGGAAAAGTGTTGTAGGTTTATAATTTATTTATAATTATTAATTATATAATTATTAATTATATAATTATATAATTATTAATTATAACCTACCAGGACGCGCGCCGAGTTTGGAGTTGGACTCCTCGCGAGTTGGAACAAATACTTTACGAGTATCACCCGTTAAGAAAAGTGAGTAAATTTAAGATTCAGTTTATTAATAATAATGAAGGTAACGATCGTCTCTTGTAAAATTGAAAATTTCTAGAAATAAAACAAAATATCAAATTATGCAAGTAGAACTAGAATCATTCGTTGAAGTTAATATAATATAAGCAGATCTATAATAAAAGTTTGCGTAAAATCTGGCCCCAAAATGAATTAACGAAATAGCATTCAAGATTCATGATCGCCCAGCAACTGTTTGAATTTGATATCCGACAGCCTGATGATATCACAATTTTTTCTATCCAAAGAACCGTTTGCAGTTACTCAAACATTTCTTCATGTCCCCCTCTTCGTTTTCACATAAGTGCACACATCTCTGAAAAGAGGAATGTTTAATCCTCTTTATAACTTGATTATAAACTAAATTTGGATTATATAAATATAATAGCAACAAACTGAACACAATGGCTAATTTCTAGTGAACTCACGGGATCAGGCGCAGCTAAGGTAACAGCGATGCAAAGGGAGGAGATAACAAGGAGGAGATAACAGACGGACTTCCAGAGAGACATACTTTACTTCTTCTGGGACGGTTGTAAAATGAACACATTTGAATAATATAATGAACTGAATCATGAAAATAATAAATATACAGAAAATCTATTCGCCTTCAGACTTTCAGAGACCTTAGCCCATAGCCGTTATCCGGTATATATCAGGATGTGATATAACAATATGAATAAGAATAAGAATATCACAATAGCCCATAGCCATAGGCCACATATTCACACATGGGATTATATTGGATGCAGGACGTGAGCCGTGAGGTTGGTAGTTACTCGGAGGCCGGAAATTGTCATGCCATTTCCTGGCCTGTTCATGTGATCCAACTCCATGATTTACTGGCGCAAGCAAACTGAGAACTATATAATTTATTGGAATTTATTCATATATATTGTACTTGTAGTTGTACGTGTTAAAATAGAGCGATAAGATCGACGAAAGTCAAAGTTTGTCGTGACCCGTGACCAGGTGACTTGTTATCGGAAATCGGTAATATGTGTATTTAAAGTTAAAATAACATAAACCCGCCACGCAAAGGGTTTATATAACAGATCATCCCGCGCTAGCGGGATGATCTGATAAACACATACGAGTGCGCGCAGCGCACGAGTTTTGTGTTAATATGTAATCCCGAAGCGCCAGCTGAGGGATTACATTTATTTAGCCCTGAGCGTGAAGTGTTTATGGATTATAATTATCTCCGGCGATTTCGACAAGGGATTTATACTTTAGAAGAGAGTGATAAAATAGTTTTTATTTCGGAATACGGGTCTGATTTTAGTAATATTTTCATTTCTATTTGTGATGGTGATAACAAGTGATACGATAACGTACTAGAACAGTAGTAAAAATCTGGATGACTGAAGCCAAGAATTAAATTTGTTTAGAGCCCAGTTGTTGACCCTAACTGTACTGTCCGGAACACGATTGGAAAGCAGTTCATCAATCTGAATGTCAAACCGATCTGTCATAGTGGAGCAATAGCTTGAACGTTAGCAGGAACAAGAGCTGGAAGGAGAGCAAGCAAAACAATACTATTTTTAGGGCACGGACAAGGGTAGCTGGCTAGTCGCCAACTTCTCACGCCACGCGTTGGAGAAATTCCAAGAATTAGCTGCTTTGGCAACGTTCCCAGGAATTTGCGTGTAAAAGAAGTGGACGGTTACGATGTTTCATATCACGTGGTGCGCTTTCGTGTCACGTGGTATAGACTCGGCGTATGCTATTGGTGGCACGTGGTACGCACGTGACGCGCCCACGTGATCGCGCGTCTAACTGTTCTACTTCTACTATTATCGAGTTCTAATCAGCAGTATCATTGATTATTGTAAGTCGGAGAATTGAATGATAAACATCAGTTACGACTAAAAAGCGGGCCGGGTTTATACAAATTTCCGGGGCGGGATGATATCACCTTGAGATGTTTATCTAACAGCGGGCCGGGCTGAGTGATAATATGATCCCGCGTCGAAATCCCGGAGATATTTATAGTAACCTGCACACGGTCAATAGTAGCGTGCTAAGTCAAACTTGAATTCATTTAATACCAGAGCAGAAAACATTAAATAAGATAATATAAATAAGGCGGCGCTTCTCTCATCCACCAAGGACGAAATATTTGTTCACGGACACAAGAAAGATAATGTTATGCTGAACTTTGCCTGATACTGATAGCTTGAAACGTTAGCAGACACAGTGAGGTTGAGAGGGCGGTCAGCTAGAGTACTGGAACTCCCAACGAATGATAAGGGAGTTCATTAACAGTAGCACAAAATAAAACCTCCGGCTAGTTCTCAGACCGATCCACGTAATCGGCATATCCTGGTTTCAAAAGCAATTCTCAGCAAAGGCCCCTGATTTGCCGAGAAATTTCGACTCTCAGGCTTTTTCACGTTCCACTTACCAGTTTCAATGGTGAGACAGGAAATATTACCGGGCGGCACTGGTCCTCTCTCTGCTGCTGCTGAGGGTAACTGCAGTTAGTGACATTGACAATCACAATTAGAACGAAGCTGAGGTATTAAGGAAACACTTCGAGCACTTCAGACTCAGTTGATCCGAACAATCACTTGTTTGTAATACACTCAGCACTGCTTCCCGGAAAACTTAGTAATGGTTGTTGGTAATCCTTGCAAAGCAGAAGCTCTCAGGGCGAGCAATATAATGATGTCATTGCGGGCCACGTAACGGGCGCTCCCACGAAATCGCTCGTCCAAATTTTTTTTTAATTTTTGTGAAAAGGCCCTGAGGGTATGGAAATATTCTAATTTGGTGTATTTTTGGACGCTGATTCCGAATCACCCCCCAAGACGTATCGGTGTAGTAAAAATGCTTCCCTGGAGAGATATGGGCAAAAACTGTTTTTTCACGTGACAAGCTAGTAAAACACGAATTGTTTAGGGATCGGGTTAGAGCGAATTAGTAAGAAGGTAAGAGCCCATTGCGGTGGGGGGGGGGGGGGGGGGGGGGTGCAGCCAAACCAAGAAATATGAGTGATTCTGACAGGTTCTAATATATAAAAAATGTACACCGTATTAGGTACTGAAGAAAGGAACTTTACTAATTCTAGTAGTACTAGTAGTACTAGTAGAGAACTAGAATTATTAATATTAATATTATATTTATAAGGACCCAATAATCGACACGTCTGGAGATGGGCCAGGCCAGATTATTAAGGCCTCTTGAGAACGCGACAGTGATTTCTTGATTAAAACTTATTTTTTTCTAAATTATTAATTAACGAGATCTAAATATTATCATGTATCTCGGGCGCTGTCATAATACAGTATCTTCCTCTGCTTAATTTTGCGTCCACTAAAATATGTGACTGTACTTGATCCCCCACTCCTAACTCCGCCTCCATTTATATCGTCGATCCCTATCTAATACAGTTCAACTTCTGTCTAAATCTCACTCAGCTCCAGATTACAGTCTCTCGGAGACTGCATTATCTGGAGCTGGATAGACAATAAATATCAGTAAATTTCTG